TTACAGTCAATTTAGAAGCAGTGGTCTTATGAGATGTGGGAATGTGCTCTCAGAGCTCACAGGCAGTTCTGTGTAACTTGTGAATACAATGTGTAACAGTGCTGTCTTCATGTTTCAGTGACACAGATACATAGATAATAATGTGACATGACTACAAAACACTGTCAAATAAAATAGCTTTATCTTAACCTCTAGAGTCCCTGCGTCCTCATATGAGGACCGCACAGCTTGGGTTTCCAAAGCTCAGGACTCTAGAGGTTAATATAGATAAAAAGCTCACAATCCCCAGAGATTGAAATATTTTATAAAAGTCCACCCTGTGAGTGCACTGCTTAAGAACTGACATCAGATGCACAGGACCAAAGGTTTTACACTCCCAACTTGTTCATCATGACAACATTCCTCAGTGAGAACCAGCAGCCTCCAGTATCTCTACTAACTGGCTGTAGTACACTTTAGTCGGCAGTGTTCTGCAGAATCTGTCCTTTGGAGTTATAAATGGCAGCTATTTAAAGATATTTAGTTTATAAAGTTGTTTATTTGGCATTCATTTGTTACACTGAGTATTGTCAGTGTTTTAACACATTTATACTATTTGCCTCGGTCTGGATCCCCATTCAGATGTTTCTAAAACCTCCCTCTTTCTGCTACATCCCCCAAGCCAGACCTTCTCTCCAGTGTCTCTTTTCGATTTCCCACACTGCCCAGGACTATAGAAAAGAGTCATGTGCCAAAGTGGCCAGACTCTGGCAGTGAAGGGAAAAGGATTTTATTAAGAGTGAGGGGAGTCAAAAGAAGGGTAAGAGGAAAATGAAAGACAGTGGAAAAGGTGAGGAGAGAGGCATGAGATGTATGTCATAGGTGATAGGGAATGAGAGACGTGGTGGAAAGTAGTAGAGTGCACTGCAAACTGTTAAAGTGCTATGTTGCACCAGTTTGCAGTCTTCTTGGGCACTGATCTAATTTAGGAGAGAGGCAGAGCTAGCTGCCACACAGGGCAGTGTGTGTATGTGTGTGAGGGGGAGGAGGCGAGTACACTCACATACCGATCTCACTTGCTGAACCTGTACTGCCTTCCCTGCCACCGACAGTTGCGTTCAAAGCGGCGCTGGGACAACAAGTTGACAGTCTATCCATGAACTTGGGCTCAGGTTGCCCGATAAAAGCTGACACTCGATAGCTACTGTATATAACTGAAATACTGTACAGTAGCTTGACCCGTTTCCACTGACAGATCAAGTAATGGCTTGAAGGAATAGAAAATGAAGGATTTCTCTGGCCACAGCCCAGATAGATCCTGGTCAGGCCCTGAGAACGGCTGCCATCAGCAGAGCAGAGAAACAGCAGCAGACCTGATGCTTTTCGACAGCACAGCACCAACCAGTCTCCTCTTGTTTCATGGGTCCAGTGTGAGCACCCCAGCTGCTGCCTTCTCTGGTCACCTTAAAAGCTGCTCTCTTTCTCTTGTCTCAGGAGCATCTGGTGAGGACCAAGCTCTCTCCAAACCCTTCTGCTGTCTTTCAAAGTGGATCGAAAGTCTTCAACATCTAACAGATCCTCAAACTTCCAGCCATTCTACTTTGATCGGTTTCAACAGGGGAATGTCTTCAGTCCATTCCACAACACAAGAATCTATGCAAGGGAATGTATGTTGTGAAACTGCAGCATTCGTATCCCAGGTGGAGAAAGATGGCCACCCCCACTTTTACACTGCTCCCTGCCCTCCATTGATATTGAAATGAATGTGCATGTAACAAAAGTTTTGAAACAAGCATTCTTTGTTTTGCGGTTGGAGACGCACAAGAAACTGGCTGCTGTGTGTGTCTGGATTTGTGAACCTGCTGATTTGTCCTTTTATTGTACATCATTTTGACTCTGCTCTAATCATGAATGACAACGTGTAAGCTTACAGTACTGTGTTGCCCTTAGGTGTTGCTAGGAATATGCTTGGAAATGCTCTTTCCTCAGTATTCTGTTAGTTGACTATTTTGGAACAGAATTGTTTGATCTTATTTTGAAATTCTGTTGTTAGAGAAAAAGAGCAAACATTGCAAATAAATAATGTAAATGAAACTACAATAAAAGAATATTACAGTAGGTTCTTAGCACTTTCTGATGCCTCTTTTTAGTATCACATGGTTCTGGCCAGTATTAGCACTGTATGGATAGATTCATGTGTTACAATGATGTGAAAACCGTCGTTTTTAGTTTCAGGGGAAGTTATGTGCTCTAACCATTCGTTGTTGAAAAAAGTTGATCCATTCACTTTTTATGAGCGTGTCACTGTTTGCTGAGAATTCCTCAGAATTTTACTGCCTGTAAAACCACATAATGAACCAGATGTACAGTGACAACTTGTTTAATAAGCTGTAAAGGGGTTGGTAAACATATCTGTTAGCTGTTGACCGGAGCCAGGTAGCTGTTTGCCTCATTTTCTTGCCTTAGTTCCAGTTCCATACTTAACTTACAGCTTGGAATCAATCTTCTCTAACTTTAGGAAACAAAACAATTAAGCATATTTCCAAAATGGTCATCTACCCCTTTAAAACAATCCAACATAAAATAAATCAACAGCATTATCTCTTTCCAGAAATAATGTGTGAGATCTGATTATGATCCAGGCTAGTTATATTATAACTGAAAACCATTTCACAAGAAATAATGCAACCAGAGTTGTTTGTTTATTACAAGAATATTGATGATATTTTTGGTTTGCACTGAAACATGAAAATACATTGTTTGGGTTATCTTCTATACTAATTTGGTTCATCAGGTTATCACAACCACTCTGCCCAAACACTTGAAATTGTCCAGTCATCCATATATGAACATCATGCAAAGCTCTACATTAAACAGAATTACCAACAAAACACACACACACTCACGGACTCATCTTCACATTAATATCTGGGACAACTACATCCACCCACACATACTCATACACCCAAACACACATACTACTGTTAGGGCACTGTTATTTGCAGGTGTTGATATTAGATTAAAAAAATAAAACAGGATTTGAAAACATCTATTTCATATTGGTCATATACTGTGTACATTACATGATAAATACATTAAGGCTGTTAAACACTTCAAAACACTGACAGGTTGTCAAACCGGGTCATGAAGGGGAGAAGGTACCCCTTAAATTATCTTAAAATTCATAATAATGGAACAATTTGTTCATTTGACTATTACTGTACCTGTATCTTATTACAGTCAGACATTATATTTCTCAAAGTGACATAAACTTCAATATATGAAACATAAATCTCTTACCTCTCCCGAAGAGCCTTAGAAAACATTATTGTATTTCAGAGTCACCTCAGACAGGTAACACTGAAATATATGACAGGATGTTTTCAATGATGAACTACTGGTTGCCATGGACCTGACACCTTTGTAGCTACTGCCCTGTTTGCTTGGCCCAAAGTACCAAGCAGACATTATGATCAATGTGACTGATAGGGGGATCCTAACACACACGTTCATTAGTGTTTCCAACTTGCTGTAAATCTGTGGTTCATCTCTGATAGTAAACTGAGACTTGTTCCCAGTTGATGGGACATGACAGCAGAATGAAGAATAAAGGGACAACTGTCTGTACTGTAAGTCAGGCTTCAGGTCCTCGCTGACTGGCTGCCTGTCTGGCAGGAAACACTTCATTGTTAAAGCAATCTTGTTATGAGGTAAGGGAGAGCACAACAGCCTCTCAAAATCAAATAACACTAGCCTCACAGTGCTACAACACATTAGGACTAAAATGTTACAATATACCCAGAGTTTTAGAAACATTTGTTGTTCTGCTGCTATGAGAAGCAAGCTGAGCCCTTCTATGATCAAGTTAATAAATACAGTACATTAGTTATTAACTGCACAACCTGAGGCAACATGACTACATCCAGGTGTGAATATTCACACAGCAGAGCTGTCAGTTTAAGAGTTAAGCAGGTCAGACAGTCTCCATATCTTTTACATGTTGTCATTTACCAGCCGTTGTTCAGTCTTGTTATCTTCATTTGTCCTTAGCCAAGTAACCCAAGTGTGCATTGGTGAGAACATCACAGGTGGGGATGCTATTGAGCGCCTGGTGGACATTCATGGCTGTAATCTCTCTGGGAGCCCTGCAAACCCCAATGGAAAAAGGTTAGGATTTGGAGCATGGCTCAACACACAAGAAATGTGTTTCAGACTGCCTGGTTGGTTTATGAATACTTATTACTCTTAACTGCTTTGTTCAATATCCAGCTCTGAATTTATGCAGGCCGTCCACATCAACTTTCACCTTGTGATCAGCAATTTTTGCTGAGAAAAGTGCAGGCGAACTGCAAAGCAAGTGCTTCTGAGCTGGCAAAACCTGTGGAATGGCAAACTGGAGTAACTGCTTCATCTCACACAGTAAGACAGAGGTAGAATACATGGTTGTCGTTTACGTTGGAAGCCGCTGCTGAAGCCGAAGCTCAAGAAAGCATGTTTAGACTTTGCCAAAAAGGTACACACTGAAAAAAGTAAGGAGTTTTAGGATTCCATTCTGTGGTCTGATCAGACCAAAGTCCATCTTTTTGGATCTGATGGCGGTACTTCATTGACAGCATCATGAATTCACAGATGTACTGCAAGATTTGTGGCCAATTATGTCACCTGGCCTCAAGCCAGTGGAGCTCCTCTGGGGAATTCCAGAGACAAGATATCAAAAATTGAGGCACACACGCACCATCCTCCAGCAGTGGAACAGGATAGGAATGACAATATGTCATGAACTTGTACACTCCTTAATCAGGGGTGTACTCATCTTTGCGACCCTTGATCTGAGCCAAGCTGCCTGATTTAGTTATTTCATAGTTAATGATGACAAATCTTCCATTAAACATTTCATCAGTCATAATGGTAATCCTTTAGCTATATAATGCATTTGTTACGTTAAGACACATTAAACATAAAGCCCATATCTACAGTATTTTACCAAACATTAATCTGGCATTATGAAAACAACTTAAGCTGCTCTAAATCCTGTAGTCAATCATTTATAACACTAGCAGTTTCTATGGAAAATACTTATTCAGTACAATTCATCGATTTTTTTTTATGTGGATAAGTTAAGAATAATGAATAATATGAGTACAGAAGAGAACAGAATAGCAATCTGGTAGTGTGGACAAGCCCAGGATAGAACACATGAAGTGAAAAATGGTGCACTAAGCAGGTTGCATGTTAAAGAGAGAGATTAAAACAGAGGCTGACCTGTTCTGAGGGGATTTGGCATAAGCCCCAGCCAGAGCTTCTCTCAGGACATCACTGGCAAACTGCTCTGTAGCCTGCAGCATATACAGTCATCATTAGTCACACAGAAACCCACCCTCCCCTACAGTAAAAGGTGAAACACATGCTACACCTCATACATACTGTATATTCATCGTTATAGCCAAGGGTTTGCTGGGGTAATGATGAGTTACTGTAAATGGCCGCATTTTATTGTTCTGGCCTGTAAAGTGACCGACCTTCAGAATCATGGCCTCGGCCACTGGAGCGAAAACATTCTTCTCCACCTCGACTGGCTGGAAGGTTACCCCGATCTGAGAGAGACACAAGAGTTATGATATAAAAATGGATAAAGTGCTGCAGCTTCTTCTTGTCAAAAACCCTGTAATTAAAAACAGCACAACAGGGATAACCGGATGTTTATGGTTGAATTCTGTATTTCCACTTCCAAAAACCCACAGAGGTTCCTCACCTGCTGAGCTGTTTCACTGACAAACTGGGTGGACATACAGGGTCCCAGGAAGAACTTGGGCTCCACGTCAGCTTCTTGCTCCTCCTCTTTGACCTTTAGTTTCTGGCAAGGTGGAGTAACAGTGATGATGTCAACTACTTCATCGTCTGCCTCCTCTGGTTCAGTCTTGAGCAGAGCTTGCATCTGCTCCAGCCGCAGCACCAGCTCGTCGTAGCTACTCAGGGTCGACGGGCACTCTGCAGACATATTAACATGTACATTTAAAACACCATATCACAAGCAGCAGCATCGGCAGCAAAGCTGAAACTTCAACTGTGTCAGTAATTCACTCAGACTGCAGATTCTTGATGTGCTGCTGTGTTAAAAATAAGAAATGTCAGAGTCTGCTTATTTTACCAGTGCAAAAATCTGACGATAACAAATCAAGGATAGACAAGGAGAACACAAACACAGATCCTCTTATTGTCTGGCTCTGGCTCACTGAGCTTAAGGAGCCTCATCTTTCGCCCTTTGGAGACAAATGACAGCATTAATGAGAAGTCCCTGTGAATACAACAACAATGAATGAACACAATGAGACTGGACACTGGATGCCCTCACACACTACTGGACAGCAAAAACATTATCAACCTCAGAAGTACAACACCCACACATGCAACACTGAAGGGACAACACTTATCCACCCTGAGCTTGTGAAAACAAAAAAGTATATTGTGAATCACAAAAACAGGCCTAAGTAAATACTGTCCTGTAGAATCTATTCACCAAAAATACACTCAGAAACTCACCAGGTTCACTATCTATCTGTGTGAGAATGTCCTCAATGGACTCATCATCATTCCTGCGTTGGGGCTCGGGGTCAGGTGGTGTGTAGCCCCTCTGCCGGCACCACTGCACCACCTCTCTTGTCTTTGGGGGAGTGAAGGCCTGCAGACGGGGTGAGCGGTCCAACACATCCTGGACAACCCGCTTCACTGCCACCGCTCGCTGAAGCTACACGGAGACATGCCAAAATCCACTATGTGAAACTGCACATTAGGCCTAAAAGCCCCAGAATTTGCAGATTGAGACCAATTAACAGTTTGTGGCTGCCAAGGTCTGATGTGTAGAAATGTATCCATCTCTCTAGTGCAGTATATGCTACCTTGCAGCTTACTATCCCCTGTCCTTGCTGTATACCAATGTGCTTTGAGTCCCCTATCCAAAAAGTAAATTAATGACCTGTAGACATAAATATTCAAGTCTGAGTGGATCTGGGAGTCTTTTATAAATCATACAAAAATAGAACAGACAGCTAAGACATGGGCTAGTCTTTATAAGCTACTAATGAACCCATTAAAATAGATGAGAGGAGACAACAGGGCAGATACACATCTGACCAGACAGGAAGACATGAGAGGAGTACAAAGCCTGATGAGTTAGGGGTCCAGCACTGAGCACCAAGACACTGATAACAAAACTGCAAACAATGCAAAAAACAGTAATGGCAAACTTAGAGAGTAATTCGATGTAGTCACTCTGAGATATTAACAGGGTTAAACTGAACCTTTAGAGAAGAAAAATGCTCTACATACAGAGCAGTGAAGTGCTCAGGATTAACAATTAATGCTGAGAAAAAGCGGCCTTGTTGTTTGATACTGAAGCACAGTGAAGACACAGCCAATATTGTTTTATAAATATGGTAAGTACATTACAATATTTGCATGATTTCCTAAAAATGCTATTTTGACAGCTAATGTACATTTGATTTTTACTGCCCTTAGAGGACTTTGATATGTTTTGTTTTATTTTTGGAGGTGGGTTATTTTGTCTTTATTATCATTTTTCTGGATTAAGTGGCTCGTGGAGAGGTGGAGTGGAAACAGAGGAGAGGACCTGTTACACAGGTTGGTCGCTGCACATACACAGTGCTTGTGTATATGATACTGTAACCATTGGGCTATCTGGGTGCTCCTGAGGCTGTTCATTGTTAAATGGGAATTTTAATCAACAAAAAGTCACCTCTGATGCTCTGCGCTTGCCAATATTCCAGGAGTAATACTGTTCTGTCGAAGAGGCACAGAATGGATGGGAGTCTTCAGCTAAACAGACAAACAAAAAACAAATTAAACAGCTTGACAAAATATTATTTATTAGCTTTGTTCTCATAGATGGAGCTCGTTTTTAAGCATACCAAATCGAAGAAAAGCTCACTTACTCTTATCCGGCACAATCAGAGGGAACTTCTTCACCACAGCTGTCAGCAGCTGCATCATGGTCTCTATGTGCTCAGTGCTGAGGAGAAGACAATCACAAGTGTCAGCTATACCACCAGAACACATTCACTGAGATCGTGGCCAGGAGGAGGAAGTGTTCTTAACCCCCTTTCCTAACCGCCTCAATTAATATTCCAGTACATACTGTATGTGATAGCTGTAATATTCACTGAGAAATTAGTTCAGCAAGTTAAAATGGAGTTAAGTAGTACACAACTGCTCTTTGATGACTTCAGGGGCAGTGCAGGTACAAAGAAAAATCTCTTGGCTGCTATCTCTTTCCTTATTTCTTAATGTACTCTTAAGTGAAAGTAACATCATGACTTACTTGATGAGGTCATGCACAGCACTATCTGCCCCTTGTTCCTGCTTGACGGTGGTAGCCTCAGAGGCAACATGGACAGAAGTGGGGGGAGGAGCAGTCACTGGTGGTGTAACAGCTGTGACAGTTGTGCCAGCACCTGGCTCTGTCTTCACTGTGGCAGCAGAAAATATGTGTGAGGTAAAATTCCATTTCATTAAATCCATACTAATGTGAAATGAGGAGAGAAAAGGTGACAGTGAGAAGACGATACAGGGATATGACTGGGATGGGTATTAAGCCTTGATACTTTGAGGACCAAAATGATCCGTACTAAAACTATAGTACTGCCATTATCAAAAACTTTCAAGTGATAGCCAACCCTAACGATGATAGAATGGAAGAAAATGGAGGTTGAGAATAAAAGAGAAAAATAATGGCAGATGAGAGCAGAGCGGGTGAAAGGGGGTTTGACATCTCTTACCCTGTGCTAGAGGCAGGACAAGGGAAGAGGAGGCCTGGCTAGCAGGACTTGGGGAGGCTCCAGCTCCAGCTGCTCCAGGGGTGGTGGAAGAGGAGGAGGAGGAAGAAGTAGTGGAGACTGGGCCTTTAGACACTACTATACAGAGAAGAGAACACACACTCAGGATGGATCAATGGCTCATTAAGCAAAAAGGCTTTAACAGATGAAAGATGAGAGCGGAGGAAGATGGGTCTTACAGATGCTGTTTACTTTAGACAGCAGAGATAGCATCTATAATAGGTTTGAGTATCTGACTCAGATCACAGTATTTAGTCATATGTAATGGCAAAGTTCAGAAAGACAAAGTAAATAAAGCTGCTGTTGGCAACTATAGTCTTACACCACTGAACCCATTTTGACAGAACAACATGCTTTATTTCAACATTTGTTCTTCAGAAACTTGCAGTAAAATCTGCGGCACACCAACAAAGTCAGTGTCGATGCAACTTAATGATTTATTCAAATACCATTTCTATTGGCTTTTATCTACTTTGACAACTGGTAATTTTGAGGTTGAGTTCCCAGCTTTTCTACCTGAAATGCACACATTTTTTGCCATAAAAGACACCTTACCTTTCCCAACAGGCATAACTATGGCCTGCAGCCCTCCAGACCCAGTGCCAACCCCCAACTGTTTAAGCTGATTGGCAGGAATGGTTAAGACTGTCTGCTGGGAGCTGGAACCCCCAGAGTGGATCTTCAGCATACCTGGACAAAACATAATGCATTCAATACAATTTGTACAAATACTGTGTACACACATTCAAACCATGTGATACTGGAAATGCAGTGCAACATTTCTTTCAACCTACCGGAGAGAGCCGCACCAGTCTTGCCACCTCCGGATGCCATCCCGCTGACTAATGAGGCTGCCGAGACCAATGAGGTGCCACTGCTTTTGGGTACACCCACCACAGCCCCCACACCTGCACCTTTGGGCATGTTGATGACAGGCATGTTGGTGACACCTTTGGTAACAGTTGCTACAGCTCCTGTTGAACCTGCAGCACTCTTTGTCACGGTGGCAGAGGTGCCAGCACCCTTGACCAAAGTGGCCACAGCTGTCTTCGACAGAGTGCCACTGGCAGCAGCACTGGCAGTCTTAGCTGCACTGATGACTGCTGCTTGGTTGGCTGCGACCAGAAGTGAGTGATGCTGAAGGGCAGACTTCCCGCCATCGGCAGCCTGCACACCGAGACACAGCTGTCAACCAGTAAATAAACAGAAACACTAACAATACGCACTCTTCTAATGTGTATGTCAGTCAATTTAAAGTACAGCTAAGTCTATAGACACTCACTTAGTTCCAACTTACAGGACTGCTATTGTTCTGACAACAAGGTGCTCTTATAGTGTGCACCATGAGAGAAACGGAGTACTGGGAAAAGTGGCAGAGTTGTCGTTAACTGCCTTCAATTTACTTGGCTCAATTTTGTTTTTCAGTGGTGTGCAACTCAGAGAGTGAGATGTGTAGGCCAGGTCATTGGTTTTATGGAATTTTCAAAGACAGGAGATTCAGCTTCTCTCACATAAGGTCCTTGTAATTTAATTACCAATCCTGAAAGAGCATAGCAACAGAAAAGCAGTGAGTTCCTCTTTTGTATTTGTAACAAGGACTCCAGAACAGTGAATGCTTTTTTTTGTATACATATTTTGCATGTTGGAGCATCTAGAAAGTCTTCCTGTGTGCTTCCATTTCTCCAAGCAATGAGGCCTGGCCACTTACTGTGAAACTGTAATGACCTAAACCCCCACTGCAGAAGAACTGCTTAGAGTCCCTCACACACTGTCTAAACTTTACTCTCTCTGACACACACACTGCTGAGCTTGCTAATGCACTCATACTAGAACGCTCCTGTTGTCCATGCATTTGTACTGCAGTGGCAAATGGTGCATCACAAGAACATTTGCCACATTTGTACAAAATGTAAAAACAATGAAAATGTATTATCTGGGATTATCTCTTATCTTAAACCATCTCTCTGTGTCAGGCGGAATAAAACAGAAAGACACGAGGACTGTGAAACTAGCCTGTTGTTGGCTGGCTGCTGCTGCTGCGCTGGCTGAGCCGGGGGTGGAGCTAGCAGCAGTGATGACTCCACCTGTCATTCTCAGTGTGGTGGTCCCCGGCTTGGACAAGTGACCTGCTGCTGCTGCTGTTACTGTCTTGATAGAGCCGTCAGACAGCTTCACCTGTGCACCCTGGGAGCTGCCCACCACCTGTCAATCATAGAAAAAGAATAATTATCCACCTATAACAACAGTCCACAAGAACACACTGAAACTACCATGGAACCTAGTGAGGGGAACAAATATTTACCATACAGTAAATCAATACAAAATCCAAAGTGAAAGTTTCTTTTGAGACCAACAAATCAACATATTTTAACCTGGTGATGTTATATAGAGCAGGGCAGAACAAACTGCATGAGGGGACTCAAGCTCAGCGCACAGGGGTGAGTCAGGCTTACACCAGCTGTTGCCAGTAAATGTACTTTGACTCAAATTTTAATGCTCCTTTCTTCAAAGAAGCAACATAACTGGCCTATTTCCTGGAGACAAAACAAAGATTAGAGAGCTCATCAAATTTACTGACAGACCAGAACAGAACAGCATGTTAGAAATGAGGTAAATCTCTGCCAAAAGCATAGTCATGGATTCAAATCTGACCATCAGGCAACATTCAAGGTACCCACTGAAACTACAAGTCAACAAAAGTACAGGATGGGAAATGTTACCCTGCTACATCCAAGTGACTTTTGCCAGAGGCTCATAAGCCAGACACATCTGCATGTGCAAAGTAGTAACAACTTAGCATGGAGTACATGATGTCCACACTGATGCTTATACTCAGCCTGCTTTCAACCTACTTTCTTCTGTTCATTGACACTGATCTAAACAAGGCAAGGCAACTTTATTTATATAGCACATTTCATACACAGTGGCAATTCAAAGTACTTTACAGAAGCTAGGAAAACATGCAAGCAAGCAACATGCTTTGAAGTTGAGAGATGTAGTGGCAATTTTTATAATAGCACCCTTTAAGTTCTTTAGCTGATGCTTTCATGTCATTGTATACAGTCATTTATGTGGTTGTGACCCCAGACTGTTTATTGCATGGTTTTTTGATTTGATTTGATTTATTCTTTCAAACATGTAAAGACAGTCATTATGTCAACACACATAATTTTACACATATCCAACAAATGCTAATCCAATATCAATGTGCTTATACCTAGTACATGCTTGAATGGAGTAGGAAGAAGTCAGACTTATCCAGTCCTACCCCATGACATCATCTTACCATCATTGGTTTGCAAGCAGTATCTCTACATAGATAATTATGTTCTACACCACGCTAGTGATATACTAAAAAATTATTACAGAGTGTTAACATTCTTACATAATTACATACTTTGATAATAATCTTCTACATCACACAAGTAGAATTATTACATAGTGTTAACATTCTTACACCACACCCTCAATGTTACACCTGATTAATCATTAAACCTGTATGGTCATAAACCTTTGTATGCCCTTGTGGTTGCCAAACCAGATGTGACCTGGGACCAAAGGGCTGGTATCCTGTTGTAAATTGTATCCTGTTTCCTTTATCTGTTTGAGCATCTGTCTCAGAATTGATGTTAAGTATTTATTTTACACTCACTGGGCTTTAAAAGATAATTTTTCCACAACAAGAGCTTACCAGACATAAATAATCTACAACAGCAAGTAAGAATGAGGTTAAGGATTAAAATAATAATAATAATAATAATAATAATAAAAAATTCAATGAGAGAAGGAAACAGGACTGTTAGTGGTCCCCAGCAGTGATAAAAGTGTTTGCCAAAACCAAAGAAGGCGTTTAAATGCAAACATCTTCCAACTGTACCGATCTTTCTGCTGGATCCTTGGGTATCATTACTCCAAAGACCGGTGAGTTAGTATAAGACAGCGCTTGTAGTTCTTAATTGGATCAAAACCAGGCTGTTAGTAAAGGGGCACAAATGTAACTACATGTGTAACAACAATGGCTACTATTAGCACCAGACTTTGTAGGGGCCACAGTAAAATGCTGACCTGAGACAAGTTCCTCACATTTACCTGAGCCAGAATGGCCGCCTTCTGTCCAGCAGTCACCCGGATGGCCTGCTGGTTAACAACTGCTGGAGATGATGTTGCGTGACCTGCTGAATTTTTTTTTTCCCTGTGCCCTGTGCAGGCTGACCAACCAGAAATGTACCCTGAGGAAAGTGGACAGGCAGTGATGGGGATGAGGCACAGATCCAACAACTTATTATGACAGTGGAATTAAAACTGTATTTGTCAGTCTAAATTCAGCTAGGTAAACTATGAATCATTAAAAAACAAGGTACAGTATCCTGTTTAAACTAATCTTAAGGCTAAGATGATCATTTAACCCACATTAAGTACAGTGTGTATGAGGGTACATTTCTAAGCATGTAAAATACCTCTTAATTCAACTGTCATGTATTACATATCATAATAGCTTATGTAAAATTCATTTAGCCTTGTCTGCAATCACTTCATCAACCTTTTAGCTTTCACCTAGAACATGTGTGAACATGCACTAGCTCTCTGTTTAGAGTGATATACAAAATTAATTTAAGAATATTAGTAGAAAAGCACTTTTGTCCTCAAAAATTGATCATTATTAGGTAAAATCACCACAGTCCTTACTTTATATTTAGATGCAAAACTCAGCAGACAACTTAATTTGATACTGCTGCTAAAGCAGACTGCAGGATCAGTGCTACCACAGTGAATGTGTCTAATTAAGAGACTAGATTCATCCTCTCTACCACTGCTATTTACCAAAAAGAAGAAAGCCCGTCTGTAGACTGCACATTTCATCAGAGAATTAAATCATTTGTTTTTGGTATCTGTGGTGATGAGTATCACACTATATGGACAATGTGCCAGTGCATCTTCAGTTTTCAAACTCTGAAGAAAAAAAAACCCTAAAACATTGCTCATAACATACAAGTAAATAAACACAAATACTCTAATAAAAAAAATTCCACAACACAAAAATCATCAAAAAGAACATTGTTATAACACAGTATGCATGCCTGTAAGGTTTGTATTCCAATGTACATACACTGTAAATACATTTCCACCCACCTGTGGCGTCTGTTTAAGGATATATGACGTGTAAGAGAGGTTGGAGGGCAGATTGCTGGAAGAGGAGGAGGTCTGTGAGCCTCCTGCTCCTGCAGACGAGCTGCTCTGGGACTGCTGACCTAAATAACAGCCACATACACACTAGACTCAGATCTGACAACAATCCTGTGATTCTTTGTCCCAAATTATAGCTTTCTCTTCTGTTGATTAATTTGAGTAATTTCAAACATTTTACTTAAACAAGTGATTCTGAAGCAGAACTAGACAGCGTGACATTTGTCTGCTTTGGTGAAGTTTGTATTTTAGATGAAATACAGGATACTGCTAAATCTCTTTAATCTCACAGCAATTTGACAGGAAGAGTGCTGCGAGAGGGATTCTGGCTCAGAGTCCACATTAAATACTCTGCAGAAAGAAACAGATGACTATGACTGACTCACTGTCCAAAAGGTAATGCAGCAGTCAAAATCTGTGACCCAAGTAGCAGTATACTTCATATAGCCCAGGAGGATAAACTACTGCACCCCGAGAGTGCTCGCAGTGTGTAAACGGTACCTTCACCACAAATTAAGCTAGCGTAGCTGACTAAAAATGCATTACTAAAGCTAAAAATGAGGGAACAAACAGCACAGGAGACAAAACACCAGACACCAAAAGCCTCAGTCTAGTTTGTACAATTAGGTTTTTTTCAAACACATTTTTGATGGATACAAAATATCATCTCACATCCCCCAACACTATTCTGAGACTTCCCCCCACTTCACGTCAAATGATCAAATAGGTCCCTGAAAATAACATTTTAAAGTCAAAGCCAAATTATGATGGTTTAAGTTGTTTGAAGTGTTCATGTTGCTAATCTAATGAGCTTCTACCTTCCTGGCGATGGTGTGAGAGTAAGTGAACCCCTAAAAGTGATCAGTAAGACCAACTTAAACTACAGAAGCTGGCGTATGTTATATGCTTTTCTGGCACAAAGGAAATCAATTCCTAGTGAGTGGAAAGCATCTCGCAACTTCTTTACTACAAAAATGGAACTGACAGACTGCTAAGTGATCAAGTCCAATGCCAAGGAGCGTCATAAATAATAAAAGATGGTGTGTCTCACCAGAGTGTATCAAGTATGTGACGTAGGGGAAAAAAAGGAGGAAGAGAGAGCAGAAGAGAGAATTTAAGAAGATTAATAAAGAATGTAACATGTCTCACTTGCACCGGATGCTCGAAGAATAGCTCCCTGTGGGATGAGAAGCAGCTTTCCCTTCCCTGAGGGGTTCTTACTGTTGGTGGTCAGGTACAGCTTGGTGCCTGGAGGCAAATTGGCCAAATTGGCCAGGTTGTTGGCTGGCAATTGAAGAGTAGCCATCACTATAGATAAACACATACAAAAGGTTATTCCTTTTATTAGATTACATTGCAAATTTCAGGAGAGAAAACTTAAAATGATATATGTAGTAAATTTTATTCATATTTATAAAATAAAAGATATAAAATTCATTCATTCATAATAATGAATATGATCAACTGACAAGATTTTGAGGCAGGTTTGTGTATATGACAACTGTAAGTTTCTTATCACAGAATTAGAAAAAGATTCTTTCTGACAATATGTTACTAAACATATTACTATACAAAATGTGTAAAACTTAAATTATCATAAAAATCTAAATCATAATGATGGTAATTACATTATTAGTAGTGCACTTGTATGTGTGTGTGAGAACTCTGACCTCCACTCTTGCCACTTGAACCCCCAGCTGCTTTGGCTGCTACCTGCTGACCAGAGATGCCACTGGCTCCACTGACGATGGCCTTAGCAACTCCCTGAGCCAAAACCTGCTTCCCGCCCATCACCTTGGAGGCAGAGGGGTTGCCCTTGGAGACCAGAATCTGTCCACTGCTGATAGCAACTTGTTTGACTGCAGACTGAAGTGTCGAGCTAACAGGAATACCTAACATCTAGAAATAAGAGTGCCAAATTCAGTTTCTAAACTCCAGTAACTTTTGATAATGCATGTATAATCCTATTAACACATATACAATAAATTAGTGGTATGCTTTCATATATGTGTGATTATATGTGAGAGAGACTGACCTTGCTAGTTGTAGTCCCTGTTGCCTGTTTCTGGGCTGACACAGAGAGCATGTGACCTCCCTTCACTGCGACAAACTGGTGTGCTGCTGTAGCTGCAGGTTGCTGCTGGCTGGTTACCGTGGAGACCATCTGCTGCTGCTGTGTTGAAACTTCCCCTGGTTCTTGCTTGATAATTACCTGCACAAAAAAGTGAGTGCACACAGAGAGACTCTAACAGGAAGGCCCAAGTGCTATGAAGGTTTTTGATATTTCAGCTTTTACATCTGGTGTAAATTTAACTGTCTAATACAAAAAAGAACAAAAATTACCGGTAATGTTACACTGTGTAGATACCTCTATTTGTTCTCAATGGGATACAGCTAACAAGGCAGTGAGAAGAGAAGCGTTGCTCAGATTTTTGAAAATCAGCAACATCATTTATCATACAGTGATATTTTTATATTGCCCATCTGTCTCCGTTTGTCCTGGCCTTTCATACAACAGCAGACGCCAGCAGCCTACAACTGAGCAAACCGTTCCATTCTGATAAAATCGTATTTCATTCTTTGTGGATGGCGATGAGATGATGAACATGTGGGAGTGGGAGGATTTTACAGTGGAGCACTGACACCGAGTGGAATAGAACTGTGCAACTCTTTCTGCAAATGCCCATTTGTATATTCAGAGTGATGCCAAGGCAGCCACATCTGCTGAAGACAGTGCCCTAGCCAATCATCATAACAACTCTACTTTGTTAAAGATACAGATACTACAGGGACAGACTCTCTTCACATTGGGAGGGGACAGATGACTAAAAACAGATGTTGGAGCTCATAAGAAATCATGTTAAAGGGTGACACCGTTAAGACTCTACCAACTCACCTTCATCCCTGAGGAGAGGAAGGTGCCAGTATGAACTTTCGGGGCTGGAGAGCGAGTGCCTTGAGGAACAGACTGTTTAGCTGAGGGACTTCCTGTGGAGTAATTTACACACACAATAAGTCATGGAATAGATGACTGTATTTGTGATGGTCACAGTTCCACAGACATCAAGGCCAATGAAGTGCAAGATGACTCATCTTGGGAAAGCTGAGCTTTGACTGCTGGATTTACTTAGAGAGCCACTGAAGTTTTGTTCCATTCCTAGTGCATTAAAATATTTTGTATGTCAGGATTGGTGACACCCACATCAACCTCATCCAACTTGATAAAACGTCACTTAAATGGCACTTAGCCCTGCTGCCAAATCTGGCTGTGCATTTGTGGAGGAAGTGTGGGAGTGGGTGTCCTAAGTGGAATATGAATAGGAAATAAACACAACAGCCTTCCTTGGTGATGTAAGATGACTGCACCATGATGGGGTGACACACAAAGTGCACATTCACTTCATTTGACAAAGAACTATCACCTTTGCAGATAACCTCACAGCTTGTGCTTGGGGAAATACACATACAACATTTGATTTGAGTGTGGGGTCTCATAAACCTAACTGGCCATGAAACAGAGCAGTTCAGTCACCATGGTAACTTCTCCAGCATTCATCCTGCTGGTTTACTACACGTCATATGTTATGAGTGCTCAACAAAGACAAAGGCAACAGGACAGAGAAAAACAGAAGGGAGGGAGTACAAAAGTACAAAAAGTTAAGATAAGGGGGTAAATTGGGTCAAGGAATAAAGTGTACCAAAATAGAGTGAGGAAGAGATCAAGGAAGGAGGAGTCTAGAGGTTATTGTTCATCATCTGCTCTACTATGAAGTGCATCCATTTTCTTTACATTTTCTATGTGGGTCGCTTAGACACTGCTTTTCGATTTCATTTCAGGTCCACTTCAGATTTCAAGCGGCACTTTGACACTGAGTAGGAGTTGTGTACCTGTGGAGGCAGCTGATGAGGAAGCCATGCTGATCACCTGGCCCGGCTTGTCAACAATGATATAAGGGTTGTTGAGCACTGACGAAGAGCCCTGCTTGCTGTGGACAGGGGTGGAGGTGGTGGGTGTGCGAGGCAGTGGGGAGTGGCTCGGGGTGGAGATCGGAGATCCTTTGGAGGAAGAAGGTTACACAGGCTGTTAAATCGGCAACTGTCTTTAAGGACGCTAATAACAAACTAAGATGGAAACTCATAAAAGAGAAAGGTGATTTAAAGTATCAGGTTGCCACAGGGGAATTCTGCAAAACTAATATCTCCAGTTGCAGATTCCAATTTTGGCTGATTCAGATTTTATTTCTTTCTAAAAATGGCTACTGACAGCATACACAAACATTTTTGTGATTTTCTTAAATGAAAAATTAAACTGCAATAACAATAAAACACTGTATTAAATAAGTTTTACATTTTCCATCTTTTTCTCACTCAAACAAATCTCAAAATAAAAAAGTGTTCCAGAGTACAGGGCAAACATTTTTTGTTTTTCGTTTTACAAACCTCTAACTAAAAATTAAGTGCAATATTTAAGTTATGCAAATGTAAACAGGTGCAACAGGTAATAGAAACAGAAGATTGTCTGTTACATCAATCCCACTGAACACGCAGGTTCATTTTAAAGTGTGTAGAGTTTTTATTTGGTCTTTTACCACAGGTTGGATACACTGTACATATACGTTTATTTCATGTGTAGCCAGTAATTCCCTTACTGTGTACTATTTGTTGGAGATTTGGATGTAATTTTTCCTTCTCCAAGGTATTTCTGCAGGCTCTTCTGTGTGCCTTTTTTGTACACCAAGTACTTCCAACATGCGAGTGAACATGTGCCTGGTACAAAGGGGAGTGTAAGGCTCGCGCAAGGTGCATGCGAGATGTTCCACGCTGCATACTCTACACATACACACGTGGTCTGTGCCACTATGCGTGGACCATTCTACATGTAAATCTAACCAGTACAGAATCTGATATCTCAGACTGATCAGCCGGTCACTGGTCATGGCCGGTCAAGCCACAAGGGGCCAATTTTGATCTACAGCCAATTAATCAGTGCATCTCTAATTATAAATAATTATACCCACTGCAGAACAAGGCCCAGTGGCAGAGAATACAGAATGCAAAATATAAAAAAATAGAACAATATCAATCAATTAAAACAAACAGTAACATCAAGGCAGGTGTTTGCTGTCAGTATTTCTTAATGGTGTTTTTATTTTACCTGCATAAATTCAGAAAAAAAAAATGCTGTTATTTACAAACTAATGTGAAATTGCCACTGGATGGAGACACTTACCTGAAACTATTTTACAGCTCATGGTGATTGGCTGGAATGACTTTCCAGGAGACTCAGCACGACTCGGTGGCTGTCCTTGCGGGACAATCTTACAGCTTGCTGTGATGGGCTGGAAGGCAGAGTTGCCATGGGAACCTAGGGTGATCCTGTCACTAGCTTCAGGCTGGGTTGGGGTGCGGTCACCAGCAGTGAGGCCAGAACTGTGGCCCCCTGCAGACCTCCCTGTCTCTGTTTTGATGAAACCTGGGGGGAGATGGAAGAGTACATTTAATCAGTATTCCTTGTCAAAAACATCTGGTGTTGAGATACAAGGCTTTTAATTTAACAGAAACTGAGAAACCAATAAAGTGGTCCAATCTGTGTGAGGGAAGAAGATGAGAAAGAGTTGATCAGTTCAAACTGACTGTACTATGCAAAACTGTCACTGTACTACAGCTCATTCAATTGTTGCATTACTCAAGACTCAACTAAGAAATTTTACCTTATTGCAATTCAAGATTAGCATAAACATTTTTGGACTATCTAAATGTGTGCTTTCGGAGAGTTCCTATATCCTGACTAATGGTGCAAATAATAACCCTTCTTATGTGTTTTTACCTTTGTCTACACTGTGATCATGTGATGTGGGCGAAGTGCAGCGTCCATAACTTTGGGCCACCGAGGTGGCCAACACAGGGCTGGCTGCTCTGCGAACCGCCTTGGAGGAAGAGGGCTGAGGAATGTAGTCCTCCCCGAGAGAGTCCCTGAGGAGCTCCACATCAACCACCTGGAACAAATTTAGCTCACTGTCAGAGTAAAGCTCTGAGAACAAGCCATCACAAGAAACACTGAATGTTTAGAACTTACAGTTTCTGCCCCAAGAGTCTGTAGCCCAGTGTAAGTTCTGTCCAGCTATAGGAAAACAACCAAGGTGGTTACAAGACAGATGTAATAAACTGGATAAGTTACATATAATCTTTATAACTATCATTATAACTAATTGTTTTAAAGTCCAGTAAATTTTAAATACTTCATCAGACCCATAATAACTCTACCATACAGAGGTCCTCATAAAAAATAAATTAGGAAAAATTGTTTGAAGAGGAAAGCAAGCCGAGTGTAGATGTGGTCTGACCTTCAGCTGGTGGATAATGTCAATACGTTTGTTGCGATGGTCTTTGAAGTGGATCTGGATCCTCACTGGAAACTCACCCCAACCACGACGTGTTAAATGAAAGGGAGGCTCACTGAGAACAGAGATGTTCAAAAAGCCTTATGTAACATCATTAAATACAAATCTGTAAAAATCAAAGCTCCCACCCTCAATTCTGACTCATACTTAATGATCTCTTAAAATCAATAACTCTAATCTTCTCTCCCTTTGAAGCCAGAGGGTTTCATCCGCACGTAACAGCCTGCCTTTACAGGCGCGCATGTACAGTATATGCATACATATTATGTATATACATATTATGTGCATACCCTGTGAATGATGCATTGGCTTGTTCTCCCTTTCATTCATCCCTTCAGCTACATTCATTCTGTGCTGACAGTCAGCAGAGAGGCCTGTGTGGGGTTCACTAGGATTGAAGACTTGAGTCGGGACAGACTGATGACCAGCTGACACGGCAACATGAGCGCATTGTCAGCTGAAACAGCCAGGAAGCTACAGCTCAGAATAAGGAGTGCTGACTGATGAAAAAAGATGAATTATTTACATGCCATGGGCAAACTTAAATCCTTTTAGAGAATAAATATGAAAATTCGACATCTTAACCACAGAACTTGAGGGCACTACATGATTCCTGTGAACTGTGTGGCTCTGATGTACAGACCTCAGTTCTCTGGGCTAAGGCAAGATGTTTTTCTTGGAGATGACAGATGATATGTGTATGATTTAGGTGTGCCCACTATTAGTCATGTTGATGCTGACTTCTAGTCTGACTCATTATGTATTAAATGACATCACAGCTCCACCTAATAACACATGTGCAATCTGAAGAGTGAATATGATTTTATTTTTTTAGTTTGCATAAAAACTAACCGTCAGCAAGACTTTGCTGATGTAAGCATCACTAAGAGGCAAATACTGCTTTTTCTAAATTTCAGCTATGACTGGTGGGAACTAGCCTGGAGGATCTGCATCATCATATAGCCACAAGGGGGCACAGTTTATTAAAGGACTTTAATCATCTTTGCTGCCAAATCTGTAATAAGAATGTCATAAGAATGTGTGGATATAATTACATAAACCAATTACATAAACCATTTTTTTTAATTCCTTCAGTTTGTCAAGTTATGTGTGGTAAGAGCTGGGCCAAACTACTGATCTAGATTAATAAGGTAAGATTAGAAGTAAACAGTTTGTCCCTTTCTCTCTGATTTCTAGGGCCCTATTTTGAGGATCCACTGTGTTTGATCAAGAGGTATTGGTTCATTTTGGTAATTTTATGACAAAGGAAAATGGTTCAAGTGCCTGTGCAAGTAGCAAAAGGGATGAACTTGATCTCCACATTAAAGCAGGGCTGTGTTTTGGGTGTAACATGCAGTTACCCAATTAGTGTGTAACTTCATATCCCCTTTAAGAAATGTGCGCGTTTGACAGATTGCTAGTATACTGGTGGACTTGCCAGGTCGGACATCTGTAAGATTTTCCACTAAGGAAACAGATCTGCTCATGCATGAGGTGAAGTCACATGATCACCAATACAAAAGGCATTTATTATAATTTATTACATATATACTGATGCGCACAACACTCAATGAACATAGTGTCATCTTTTTATTTTTTTTTTTTAAGTTTTGCATGTCCTGCACAGCACATCCCAGGGTATAACAAGCACAGTGCACAAGCTAGACAGGTGCGCATCACAACACGGTCAAAGCGCCCATTAACTAGCAATGATGATTTGACTGTTGATCACAGACCTGGTTTTTGCTGGGCAGTGGCACAGTCACTTTGTGCGCCCAAAATTGACCTGGACACATGCCATTTTCATATGCACACAACTGCCAGCTCAAAGTTGTCATATTTCTGCTTGGTAAAAAGGCAATGCAATGTGCATGACATGAACATGGTAATTGCACAGGTAGGAAATTAGGAAACACTGATGAGCTTGTGGCAAGATAGGGCCCCTATTATTGCCTGAGGTGACCACATAAAAACAGCACATAAGGGCTAATCTTAACAAGAGAGAAGCCCTGCTTGTATCAGAAAATGTGTGCATGTCTTAGGAGTGCTTACGCACATTGTCTGTCTGTCTCAAATGTGCAGAAAAAACAAACTGGTACAAACCTGACTTCCACCAGGTCATTGGGTTTGTAGCTGGGGTGCAAAAAAAACCAGACTTTCTTTACAAAGTGATCTATACTGGGTTCCCTTCTGGAGCCTCTGACGTACACCATCCACTTGTGGGTAGACTGGTCATTCTCTTCCCGCTTATCAGGGGGAATGTACCTGAGTGTAAGAGACAAAGTGGAAACACAGCCAGAGGGAGTAAAGAATTAGGCTCAGTAAATATAAGAGACAATGAAAAAGTTTAGACTGAAAAAAGAGGAGTTAAATGTTATAGAAAAAGCAAAACACAGACAGGTGATAGGCTATAAAGGAACTAGTACTTCTTTGTGTTTCACAAAAGCCTCCCTGAAGCTGAAAGCATGGAAGAACAAAAGCATGACAAACTGCATGGGTCACAGGCAAATGTTAAGTTTAAAAGCTTCACAAAGAATCTGACAGAAATGAAACAATAAATTATATATTAATAGACAGGCTCATGTGGAAGATATTTATCAAGACTAAGCCTGTAGTAAAACTGAGTTCTGGCTCCTCAGTGCACAGTCATGCACAAAATAAACGGGGGGGGTGGGCTTTAAACACACTGAGACACACTAGTACACAACTTCTGAGGGAGACACACCAGTTTTAGAGGGGTATAAGTTTAAAATCAAAGGAAAAGGGAGCACTTGTTTTGATGCAAGGGATCGCCCTGTTGATGCAAACATGGCAGTCATTGTTACATGAGACTGAGACTGCACAAGGATCTAAATCACACTCACAAAATGATTAATCATGCAGCCCTAATCTCTAGGTCAACCACCTGACAAAAACTTAAGTTATAGCTCATAACTCATTTATAGGTTTTACTTATGTCTAATTTTCCAATTTTTTTCAATCACATAAATAGTCTCAAAACGTCCTGAGATGATCCTGACCTCTGAATTGGAAACATGTGTGCTACAACATACTGAGTCAAAAAGATGAACAAGTAAAATTTGTCTGAAGATTTGGTTACATACTTTGACACATTCCCCACTACGATTGTCTTCTTTGCATAGAGTCTAGAGGCTTCATCTCCAGTAGTGTGGTAAGTCACCCTGTGCTCAGTTCCTATGGACGACGGCACACCAAAAGTGTCCTATGGCAAATATGAAGAACATACTCGAAAGGTAAAAAATATGCAGGTTTAATGCTGATACTCACTTCACATTCATCAAATAATCAATAACAGTGTTATCTCTGTCACTTGAACTCACTTTGCCCGTATTACGTCCAGGTCTGCGCTCCTGCTTGCTACTGTCCTCTCTCCATGCTCCCTCTCCATCCCTTTCAGCTCCCTCTCCTTGATGTGAGAGGGACTCAGACTCTGAGTGCGCCAGAGAAGGCGTCTCAGAGCCCTGGTTGAGAGGGGAAGAAGAACGGGATGGGGACCCCAGGAAGCGGCGTATGGCTGGATGGTGCAGCAAAGCAGGGTCACTCTTAGAGCCATGCTAGGACACAGAGGAAATACTGATTACTGCTCCCATGCCTTAGATCAGCTGACACAAAAGTATGAATATATGAAATTTACCTCTGAAAGCTTTGTGATTCCAACACTGGCATAATAATTGGCAACTATGCATGCCCTTAGCTTGTCCATCATCCTCCTGGCTTCATGGAGTCGCTGCATAACAATGAAATGGAATGAACTTATATACTCCGTTTAACACTTGAAGACATGCAAGCAATGTCATAATTCACTCTATATCAACGCAGGTTTGAACCTACATCACTGATACATAAATTAAATGTATAGTGAAAATGAGAATCCAGATACCTGACTTATCACATCTATCTCATGCTCTTTGTTCTTCATCTCCAAAGAAAACTGCTCTCTGATGATGGTTTCAATCTTCTGTACTGTTGCTTCTCGGGCTGTTCATATAGGAAGAACAGACATTAAAAGACCATGGAACAATTGAGTAGCTGTCACAACATGTAAAGCAGGTGTACTAGGTCAGAGATCAGAGCATGAACTTACCATTATGTTCAGCCGTTTTGAATCTCTTATTATTTTGGATCTGCGTAATGTCCTCATAGTCCGGATCACTGCCTTCTATTTTTCTTTTAATTCCTGACATGGTTGCCTGTAAACCAAGTATATTAGGGGAAAAAATCATATCAAAACAGCTAACGTTAGCTAATCATACCCATGCTCCTATGGCCAGTTGTAATGATACTTAACAGCATAGCTAGTGGAGACGCTGCTATTTAGCTACAGCTAATAGCTAACTTTAACACTTACTAGCTAGCTAGTTTTGGTTAGCCTGCCTAGCATGTGGTCAAACCGCAAGCCCAAAATCTTCAACTAATCTAATATACCGAAAAATATTAAATGCGACTCCACCGTTTTGTGTCTCACGACTTCTGTATTGGAGAAATTTGTGCCTGTCGCTCGTGCAGCCGTCCATACTATAATGATAGAAACCGCTATCCCTGTTTGCTAATTTGGTGTTAGTTAGCTAAGGTTAGCACACATAAATTCGATTCAATTCGTTTGAAATGCAGACTTACGGGACTGCCCTGTACTGTGGAGAAACGTTTCTGTGTGAGGCGTGTATTTTAATTCAGTGTGACCATATCCTTTGCGTTATGCGATATTAGTCTTACACACTCGTGTTTAGTAAATTGCTAAATCTCGAGATGGACCAGTAAGCTAACTAAATAGAGCATAGTTAGCCTTGCACTTCAGCATCAGCCACCAGAGACCACTGTTCTACAAAACAGATAGAGCTGCACAGGAGCATCATCAGCTTTCTCTAGTTTTGTTCGCTGGAAAAAAAAAATTGAAGATAAAAAACATAATCTGTATTTTAAGCATTTAGTGTAGAGCATCACCTCACTGTAACCTGCATGTTCTCATGGCATAATTTACAGTTGCTCATTAAAACATCAACATGATTTAGATATTTGTTATAATTACATGAGGAGGTAATGATTGCTTCGGGAGAAATCCAGTTTCACGTGCCTTACCATTATGGCATATACCAAAGTTTCACATTTAATCACATTATCAAGAGTAATTGTTAGTTATGCATACATTTTAACAAGCCATGGCCACAGTTTTTCATCTGAGCCACCAAGAATCATTAACCAGATGGTTAAGGTTGTTTTTTTGTTTGTTTGTTTTTTAATTCTGACACCTGTCAGAATATTTCTACTTTTAACTTCCTGATAATAAATCAACCCCTTTGTACCCAAATTAATCTTAATGAAGCAGAGAGGATGTACAGTCTAGTACTCATTTTAAGGTCAAACAAAGGACCATGTCTTTCCCTTTATTTCAAGCCAAGCTCCATTCAGAAGAAAGGCCTCTCCCCAGGCAGCAGCCTAAATTTTTTTCTCTGCATAAAACAGGTTAATTTGTCAAGAGATATTTTGTCATAAAATGTCAAAGACACCATTAGTCCCCTGTCTGTCACAACATAAAGTATCTTTTGGAATTTTAACACTATTCAGAGGTGGATCTAAAGCTAACATTTTCATTAAGGCGAGATTAATTAAGCTTGCACCACAGTACTTGCAACCTTTATAAATGCATTTGTGGTCTACATCAGAATCAGTGTGGGGGATGAATGTAGTCTTATGAGCAGGATTAATGTATTCATTGAGATAAACTATGATATACAGTGGTTTCCTGTAAATAGTGTGCACTTGAAGGCTAAATTCTTTCAGCATCGATTAGTGTTAATGCAGAGACATTGTGCCCATAAGAATCTGTTAGAAGGATATTAGGTAGGTAGGTAGGACTTTATTGATCCTGCAATGGGGAAATTCCTGTGTTCCAGCAGCAACAAAACACCATAAGAACAAACACCACTCACATAGCTTGAGAAACAGATTCCAAAGTACTTAAAACCAAACAGAATATACTATTTGAGAGACAATCAAGAACAAGAATGATCCTCCCACAATTAAGCCCTGAGAACAAATCAAGATACCTAAGAACATTAGTGGTTATGTTAGAGCCAAACTATAATATGGAGCCTATAGACCATGAGATAAGACACAACAAATACCCCTTATTTTTACTTATCACACAATCAGTGTGATTAGCCTTTATATTGTATTCTTGTTCAACATAATGGCTCATTAAAACATCATGATTGATTCATCCCTTGATAAAATTAAAGATTCAACAGTCATATAGCAGATTGCATAACATTTAATGAGACCTTATGTATATTGTTTATCTTGTGGCTAACTATCTTTAGTGTCTTTATTTAAAGTTGTGCTATGGATAGTGGTAACAGTTGTGGGTTCTATAATTAATATTAAATTACAACATGCTGATTCTGATTTAAATGACATTATCCAGCAGCTGGTTCCTTATACAGTATATTACATTCACTACAGCAGCTGCTTTTCATCGGTTTTCTCATTTCCTTCATGATGAGTCAAAACTTGAAAAGTATATACTGTATAATGGGGATGTGCAAATTTTAAACTTTATTTCCTTTAAACTCTGATAACATAATATCTATAAATATATATTTGAGGTCATTTCATTCTTGAATGTTTTTCACTGATGAGACAGGACAAGCTTTGGTACACTAAGAAAACCTTTATTGATGTTTCTCTTAAACCAGTCAATCAATACATTTCATCATACTGCAGTTTATATAAAAAAAAAAAAAAAAAAAACAGTTTTTGCGCAGTTAGAAAAGGACCATCTGCAGAGAAAGTAGTGTTAAAATATCACGTCATACACACAATTATAAAAGTTTATATCAAAATGATCCAATTTAACTCCCCCCTTATTATTTTATTAAAAAGGCACATAAGGCAGCATTCTACCAATAACTGTTTCAAGCCACCATCTTGCATGCAAGCACAATTTATTGACTGACATACATCAACAACTTCACCTTTGGGATTGAATCAAATCCATTTTGGCTTACATCTGCATTCATATCAAAATCCATCAATCAGCTTTTAGTGCTCAGATCAACAGGAGTTTAATTTAGGGCATGCCACCGGCATGTGGGAGTCAAAATATCTCTGCACCACAAACCCACAACTCACCACAACAAGCAAAAGAAAAAAAGACACAAAAACAATCAGTAATCTTATCAAAAGTACAACATTGTATGAAAGCCTCTATGTAGCAAATAATAAAAATCAAATAAACAGGACTTTTTGTGTCCCATTTTGAGTTAATATTCAGTGAAATCACAGACACACACTCAAATTCTCTCTGTATTTATCTAGCTCCTACTCTTTTGCCTTATTACTTTCTTGCCTCCGAGCCTCCTCTTATTGACCTCCTGAGCAGGAGTGGATCTAGAAAATTTTGGACAGGGTGGCCAGGCTGGGACACAGACTCAGAAAGGGGTGGCACATTTGAAATACATACATGTAAAAAGTAAATTACACCCCTAGTTCTATTAAATAATATACCATGCATTTTTAAGAATCAAATTGCTTATTTTGTGTATAAATGAGACACTCGCAGTGCTTTCTTTAGCTAATGTTGGCTGCACTCCTTATTTACTCTGGGCCAGAGACATCAGTGCCACACAGTGGTTCCTTCCCCACCTAGACAAATCATGTCAAGTACTCCACAACAACACACTCAGAGAAATGAATGCAGATATTATGCTGCATGCATGACCAGTAAATACCAGAAATATGTTAGTTGTATTGAAGGCAACAAGTTGTTATTGTTTTTCATTCTGCATTCATTAATACTAACAAGCATCACATACTGACTCTGGCAGGGGTGGCACCAGGCGTGGCCAATCAGATTCTCAGGGTGGTCGGTGGTCGTGACACCCCTTGGCTCTGTCCATGCTCCTGAGTTACTCTAAGTATGGGGCCTGGGGATGTTTTCTTTACTGCCCACACTGCTGTTGAAAACCTGACACTGAACTCATCCTTCTAAGAAAACATCTGGAGTATGGTTAAGTCGAAATAACCCTACTTGTTTTTGTCAGTGTAACAGTGAGAAGCACAGTCTCTTGTGTTCTTATGCTGTGTATTATGAAGTTACACACTGACAGTAACAAGATATTGTTTTTCACCTTAATATAGAAAGCTAAAACTCTTCCTTTCTCTTGACAATTTTCTCTTGTAGCAATCTTTGTTGTTTTTGCTAAATTATCAAAGCAATGGCAGGACGTGGCCTTGAGGAAGAGCTGATGGGCCATTCATGTCTCTTACATACATTACATGAAAGCAAAGAACATTTACTGATACAGTAAATGAAAAAGAAATCACTGTCATATAATTCCACATTTCAAAGGATTTTGTCAAAGTGCACAAGTGGGGCTCTCAATTACAGAAAAACACAATATGCAACCAAGAAAGATACATTTAAATAGAGGTTAAATAAAGAAAAATAAAAAAAAACACAGTTATATTCACAGCAATATCACTAGTCTATCAAAACCAATTATAGTAAAAGGTGACTTCTACTGACCATGAGCCACACCATGACAGCCAAAACCCTTGTCATTCAGAGTATAGCACTGTTACATGTGCCACCTTATCTGACCAGTAAACACACATACATGCATACACACCTGGAGGTATCTACGGTTACCCCGAGTTACATCTTTACATGTAAGTGTACAGGTGAGAAGTGCCAGCATCAGTGTGAAGAGTTCTGCTAACAGAAATTAACAGTCATCCAATACTTACACCAGAACTCTTTGATAAACCTCCTTGGCTCCAACACATCCAGACCATGCCATAAAAGTCACATACATACAGTATATAGCAAACACGCACACAACTTATTCAGAGCAGTCTTTGAGTTTGATCTACAAAGGCTTCTCGCATCTATAAAACAACCCACATGCCCATTAAAAGTTGATATGAAACACACAGAAGCTACATATAATACAATAAACATTCAATTATTAAAAAACAAGTATAACTTAAAAAAGAAAAAAGTCTGTATAAATGTAATGATAATAATAATAATGGTGTAAATAAAAAGCTTAAAAAGAGACCGATGTAGGTCAGAAAATGTGAGGTCATGACACAGCTCAGGGAAAAGGGAAATGCATATGGGAAGTGGAACTAGGTGATAAATGGAGGGATGTGAGAAAAAGGAAACAAGTGTGCTAACAACAACTAACAGTGTGCATGTTCCAATAGCTTTGTACAGCATTCTCTCTTTATCTCTTCTCTTCCCCATGCTCTAGGTCAACGGGCAACAGCAACTTGTGTTTATGACCACTGATAGTGTGGGAGAGCAGCTGGCTAAAAATATCCTTTGTCAGTGTTGGGCTGTCCTGTACTGAATGTACTACCTGCATGGAGTGCAGCAGGGTCAAGGTTAGAAATTTGACCTGGCATCTGTCTGTCAACAATAAATAATTTTTTTTCCTGCTGCTGGCAGATCACTTTTTGTTCTGTATTGATTCTTCTCCATTTTTGACATTGTTTTTGTTCATCTGCACCATCTGTGATCAGATTAACTCATCTGTGACCTAGATTTCAGGGTAAGGCACAGTAATAAAAGCACAGTGTTGGGAAGTAGCACTGATAACCTGTTTGTAAATCAGTACCATAATGAGATCAATTATTAAGATTCAATGTTTTGGGGAATGTTAGCCTTTTCTGTATGAAATCTATAAAATATGCAGTTTTTCGTAGGTAAGCAAACAATTTATTGCCGATAAATAGAGTGCTGCAGGGAAGATGTTTTTTGTAGGCCAACCCCGAAGTTACAGTAGTATCGCCCTGATTCCCTTGACAAAAGTCCAGCAGGATTTTTCCATAGGCTTTTGGATTATTGTGGAAAATAAACTTTGTGACAAACAACAGTTTGTGATTTCTGAAGCCCAAATATACAATCATCAGAAGTAACAAGCTATTGTTAGGCTATAAATGAACTACACCTTATACATTTAATATTCCAGACAGCTTCTGTGGTATCATTTAGCCACTTGTTAGCAACCACCTTTTTTAAGGCATGTAAAAGCATTAAAAATCACGAGTGGGGTATTTACTGACATATTTTATTTCACAGAACAAAATGTGAAAATATACTGACTTTGTGTTAACCAGCCCTTAATTCAGGTGTCTAACCAAAAAACCCATTCAAAAAATCCACTGACTTTAGGGCAAGGGAACCAGAAGTGCAAAAATGCTGACTCAGTTCTGGGTTTTAGGACTCATTAATACAGCACTCTATTGTCTTCAAGAATAGAAAATCCCCACCCACTGGCCTGGAGCCAATCCCAGCTGACACGGTGTGAGAGGCAGGGTACACCCTGGACAGATCCCCAGTCTAACACAGGGCTGACACATGGCGACACTCACATTCACACTTACAGGTATTTTAGAGTCACTAATCAACCTACTGTAACACTCAGTTCTGGGTTTTAGGACTCATTAATACAGCACTCTATTGTCTTCAAGAATAGAAAATCCCCACCCACTGGCCTGGAGCCAATCCCAGCTGACACGGTGTGAGAGGCAGGGTACACCCTGGACAGATCCCCAGTCTAACACAGGGCTGACACATGGCGACACTCACATTCACACTTACAGGGCAGGGTGAGTCACTAATCAACCTACTGTAACCTGCATGTCTTTCAACTGTGGGAGGAAGCTTGAATACCTGGAGGAAACCCCTACAGACATGGGGAGAATGCAGAAACTCTGTACAGAAGGTCCCCAGTTGGCCATGAGGTTTGAACCCATGTTCTTGGTGTGATGCAACAGTGTTAACCACTGCAACACCAATTATCCATTATCATAATCAGGTTTCTTTAGTGTTGTCATATATGATTCATTACTTCCCAAGACTGTGGAGTCACTACTAATGCAAGACACATCTGCCCAGTTGATCTTGACTCGACTTGAGCTCATGTTACAGACAAGTCATTAGTATATCAACCACTAAGCATTTCCACAGAAGGGCTATAACTATGATAAACAGTGAAAGATTCACAGCACCACAATGACTATTGCTACATGATGCTGTGAGGAAATAAATTAGCTCAGCGGTACTGTGGATTGAATGATTAAATGTGCCTGTTACAAAAAAAGTGTGTGATTGTGTTTGTGTTGTGCATTCGGATGAAAGTAAAGATACATTCAAAGAGTTCTTTAGTGTGTGCTCTCGTGTGAGAGTGTGTGTCTGTCTGAACATTTGTTTAAGGTCAGTGCCTGTGGTACTTGTCATTGTACCGGTGGATGGTTACACATCCGTGATGAAAGTAAAGAGCTTTTCAAAGAGTTCTTTAGTGTGTGCTCTCGTGTGAGAGTGTGTGTCTGTCTGAACATTTGTTTAAGGTCAGTGCCTGTGGTACTTGTCATTGTACCGGTGGATGGTTACACATCCGTGGTAGGAGATCGGCCGCTGCATGGCTGCCACTCCTGTGATGATGCCTGTTGCTGGGTCGTAACACAGGATGGTGTCTGTAGCCTCACCATTTTCCCCTCTGCCACCAAGGATGAAGATCTTACCGTTGCACACTGACATGCCACAGCTCTCCTGCAGGGAGAGTAAGCCAGGAATTAGAGGATGCAGTTTCAGAACATACAACCCCAGTGCTCTTGCAGCTGAGGTCAAACAATCTGTTAATTCAGAATCTGCATTTGATCTATTACCAGTTTGTTAAAGGTGTGAGTCACATGTATCCAGTAGTCCTCTAGAGGGTCGTAGCAGAAAATGGACTTGGTGAGGCCACCACATACATAGATCAGGTTGTTGAGGGACACTGCTGTGATACAGCGCTTGGCGATGGGGATGTTGGCCCGTAGCAACCAGGAGTCTGTCTCTGGATCATAGCACTGAACCTGTGACAGACCGTTTCATGTGGTTAGTTGTATTTTATTGCAGTAAAAAAAAAAAAACTACTTAAAATGCTGTATATAATGTGGCTGTTAAATACAAAAAAGTTAAGTATGTAGATGAGTCTGTGGTTTTACTGACTGTTCTTTGGGCTGACAGAGTTCAAATGCCATACTCCCCATTTACTTACACTGCTGTCAGTCAAACACATGAAACTATTCCAGGGCAGCCTGCCATTTTTTGACCTCTGGGGTTATTCAGAGATCTTCATTTTAGTGTGACAGATGGCATTATCTCATACTTAAATTCCTTAACATTGCTGTTACTTAAGATTTAATAATAAAAATCTTAATCATGTTGTGTTACCTTTCACAGGAAGTCTTTCTTTAAAAAGGTGCTTTATCCTTCTTATTGAACCATTCCCTTTTTCCATCATGAAATTGTCAAATGCCACTGTCATCTCATTGAGTAAATGTGTTTCTATCAGTAACTCACTCATTAAACCTGAAATACAGTGCAATTTAAAATTGGGCACAGAGATAATAATCAAAATATAATTAATACAGGAAAACAGGCTTAATCATGATCGACCGGACTGATGAGGATATGACAGTTACTGAATCAGATAACTGCCTGTCACAGTTCTCAACGACACTAGGACCCAAAATGCAGACCCAGACTAGGCTGAGGTTAAGAAAGTCTTTATTAACAAATAAGGGTACAAAAACCAAGATGTGTAAATGTGGTGCCAGGAGCAAGCAGGGGAGACTTACAGTACCTCTCGACACTAACAAGTCAAGTTACTACTCAGTAAACCTACTCGCTGGTCTACTTGGAAAATGGGCTTTGTTGGTCCCTTGTATCCTTAAAGTATAATTATTGACAACAGGTTATCTAAGACAAAAACCTGACATAACTATGTGCTTATGTGTATGGTTACAGGAGCAAACATCTCTTTCCCACCTTGTCTGAACAAGTGTCGTCATCAGGCCCTCCTCCTATGACAAAGAGCTTGCCAGCACAGCTGGCCATGGCTGGGGAGCTGACAGCTTCTTTCATTGGAGCCACTTCTGTCCAGCGGTTAGAGAAGGAGTCATAACACTCCACACTGCTCAGGCGGCTCTGGCCATCATAACCACCAACAGCATAAACCTGAGGTCAGACACACAAACGTATTGGAATTAGAGAAAGATATATAATTGCCCCCTTGAAACATCTGCGACCTTTCCACTTACACTGTTTATGTACACTGCAATAAACGTTCACTATAAAAAAGATGTTTGTATTCAAGCACATGAGTTCCTTAGTATGAACAATAGTGTCCACATCAGTATTTAGAAAACTAGTCCATCAGGTGCAGTAACCACTGCACCATTATTCATGTCCTCATTGCTTTTACATCTGTAAAAAATGCCCTAGAACCCTGCAAACACTAGTGCATTTGTGTACGTTGAACTTCAACATTACTTCTAACTCTGTGCAACCGTCAGTAACAATGTAACAATACCTTGAGTTGCTGTTTTGTGTTGACATGCCTTGGGAATTGTGTCACCTACTGCAGTGGCGCCCATAACTTATTCTTATGGCTTATAACTAACTTAGAACTTATTTTAAGATTCCAGCTTCAAATTGGGTCTTGAACAGGTTCTGAAACTGTACTGTCATGAGTAGTTGTCACTGATAAACTATACCTGCTTAAGCTTGAATGCTGCAGGGGGCAAAATACTCAAGAGGCGTGGACCCTGGGCAGGATACAAAACTATCACAGGGACGACACATAAAGACTGACAACCTTTCAAACCTATGGGCAACTTAGAGTCACCAACTAAACTAACCTACATTTTACAAATCATCTAATTGGAATCATTAACAATAAACAAAAATAAACCTTACGGGAGACTGAAGACTCACAAGCTTGAAAACTGTGACATGCATGTTATGAAGTGCATTGTGGTTACACATACTACCCATTGGGAGCATAAAGAATGGCAATATGAGAAAAAAGCTGTAAACAATGGGCATTAGGAATGAAAAAATATAACCAAGAGAAAAGGAGTAAAACAAAAAGCAGGTAAAACGTAGAGATTTATGGTACAGTTCTGTGTCCTCTAACATTTTCTAGAAGGAGATCACATGTCAAGAGTAGCATTACTGGTTATGAACATAACACAACAGGCAGGTCTTATGCAACAGAAAACCTTCAGGCTGTTCGTGTCTCTCCAGAAAATCTGAAGTATAAACAAGAGCAGAGGAGGGAGAGAGAGTGTGAGGGAAGTAGAGAAAAGAGAGGGAAACAGAGACAAAGAAAGACTGAGAGAAAAGGGGGAACAAAGAGACAGAAGTGTATAGAGCACATGCATATTTGCATTCTCAACACCTGGCCTAACTGACAGCACTACCGCCTTTTTCAACTGAAAAGCTGCTTCAGAGAAAGAAACAAAACAGCAATAAATTATTGACCGTTTCTTGAACGTCACAGGTAAGGATTCCAAACTAGTGCTGTGTGTGTATGTCTGTATTAAATGATAACACACTACTTTTACCAGCATTTGGTAGAAGGCTGCTGCCACACTAATTCACAGACCAAGACTTTTGGTGATTTAAAACTGTTTATTTTAAAAAGGTAGGGTTGGCGATTCTTTTCAGAAGCATTTTTTTGTTACATATCTTCTCTCTTCATCCCGATGACAAAGAATACATTATATTAATTGACAACATAAAGAAACAAATCCGTCATCTCTGACAGGAGCAGGGCTGAAAGAGGGCTGACCAAAAATTTGACTCAGCATGAGCAAAACCACTGGATGGCCTGCCTGTCAACATGCTTCCTACTTGCATGCACCCTGTCCTTGCACGAGCCAAGAATCTCCCACAGGGCCAGGCAGGCAGATGTGTTACTCCTCTGTTTTGATAGCTAAAGCTAGCGAGCTATGGCAGAGAAAAGTACCCACAGCAGCTTTTGTTCGCAAACAGAGACCACTGTTACAGGCCAGGGTGGGATTTCTTTGGTTGTCTACTTTCAAAATCAAGCTTCCTCTTGCTGGTTTTTCCAGGATCGCCAACCCTACCTTCAATATTCTTGTTGTTAGAGCTGATAACAAATGTTAGATGTGGGTTGTTTGTTGCCACAAATAAAAGAGATTAAGTGACAAAGTTAACCAAATGTAGTGTGAAAATGTTTTTTAAAAGTTTTTTTATAAACTGCCCTTAAAGGATTTGTTCGCCCACTATTTCCCACTTGTCCCAAGTCATTTCAAGCCATACAGGTTTTATTTGCCATACAGGTTTAGATATATTTTCCTGCTTCACAATAAAACAGGCATGAACAGAGTTTTTGTTTTGGTGCTAAAAGCATGAAATGAAAAACATTAATTGCAAAGTGTATGTCCAGAATCAATATCCTGACTATTTTGGATAATCCACAGACCATGTTGTGACTATGTTTCTCAGAAACTACTTTCTACCAAAAAAAAGTCCCAATGGAAACTATGCAGAAAAGTCTGTTGATTACCCAAAGTCAGGGGGTCACAAAGGTTAAATAAGAAAACAGGCTTTTTCATATTTTGGGTGAACTACCCCTTTAGCTCTCTACTGAGAATAACCAGAAACGATGGTAGGGTCAGGCAGTGAGGACTGGAAGGTACTGGATCGGTCTCAGTATAGGTATATTTCACACTAGCTCAATGATCATAGCACATATTCAATGCTGGCTTGAGGTATCACATAAACACTACATTGAGCCAAACATGATTCATGACTCTCTGTGGGCACACTTACAAGCTCCAACAAGCACATTCACAGGGTTTTTCATGACTATGTTTAAAAATTAACAATGGCTCAATGATTAATAGTTTATTCGATATGCAGAGAAGCGAGAAGTAGTGATCATGACACAAATACGGAGACAGAGGTTTCAGGGAGAGAATGACAAAAAAATGGAGCGTGAGAGAGAGGCACTGACAGAGACAAAGAGAAAGAGAGGGAGAGAGAGAAACATTATGAGAGACAAGAGCAGCTGTCACCAAGTGCAACCTAAACAGGGTGAGGAAAACAAATGGTGACCTATTTTTGCTAATACACTGGAAAAAAGACCAGTCCAACAGGGCATCATAGAATGCAAGACACCGAGCTGTGTGTGTGTGTGTGTGTGTGCGTGTGTGTGTGTGCGTTCTTGTACCTGTATCTTTTTGAGAACCAGTTTTAGAAATTCAAACTTAAGGTTACAACTAGGAGTAAATGAGTAAATACAGACTTGGTGGAAGTCAGATTTGAGGTCTTTGCATGATAGCATGAATATGCACATGTTCTCATTATACAAGCTTGTTTACAACACTCAACCTTTCTTTTCCATACCTGCTACTGGAGCACCAGTGCTGCTCACCAAAAGGGGAAATTACAGACTGAATGAGGAAATAACTGGGTCTACAGTCAGCAGGAGGGGAAACTGAATTCAGAGGGAAAGCGACAGCACAAAGACCATCCTAAAGGGACAGAAACTGTGAGGTTTTGAGATTGGAGGACTGATACAACTGTGTAACTCCCAAGTTCTAGGCTTTGAACTTAAGCACAAAAATGCATATTAATGCCACAACTGAACCAAAACTTTGACTATACTATCTTATTTTAGCATCAAATAATTTTTGGATGAGGGGGAGCTACAGATCGGTAAGTTTAAACTGGGTTTTCCTTAATGTCCTATAGTAAAGTTGAGTGGCAGCCTTATGAGTCCAACTTGTTTTCACCATACCTTGATACGTGACTCATTTAGGAGATAATTACTGACTTTTACAGCCACAGTGTAGTCATACAGCTGATTACCTCATTGTTGTGGAAGATCTCTGGGTAGTTTGAATGCACGCATATGTTTTTGTTGTTTCTTTGGCAAGGCAACTAAACATTTTGCCTTTTTTTGGAACTCACAGAAAATCCGATACAGATTAGCCTCACGCAGCCTCCCAAAAAAACAAAAGTACAGTATGTTTGCACAATAGCTGCAGATGACAATAACCCCTCCTGATTCATGCCCTTTCTGGCAAAGTAAATAAAGCACTGTTTTAGCCCAAAGACTTTCAACAATACTTGTACTTGTGTCCATGTCATCTTTTTATCTTCCGCCTGCGTCAGCCAAGACAATCATTGGCTGTTCTTCTTTATTCAACACTCATGCAAGATATTTACAGCTCAGATGCTTCCCGTGAGGTGCACATGCCATTGTCTTATAGTGGTCTATATTTGTTTTGCATTACGTTGGTCTTTACAATCACAAATGCCGTAAATGTATGTGCAATGCAATGAAGGCAGTTCTGGCTATTTACTGTAGTTTAAGCACTATTAATGGTAGAGTTCATTTTCTTGTAAATAGACTGCAGCATTCCATAGGAACTTGAGCAGTATTTTACTATGTATTCAAGTGTGCTGAATTATGCATATACCGTACATGCAAACCCATTATGAGTTTACAGGCTTAATAGAAGTTAAATAAAAAGCAATAACTAAAAGTGATTCTTTTTCACGTATACCAAATGTATTGGGTGTAATCAGCTGTGCAGTTCCATGTAGCTGAGGTCATTTCCAAACTCTGGGCAACAAAAACAAATCCATCGCACACAAAAACAATACATCACTCCTTGTCACAAGGCGGCCTCATAAACAAAGACAGTAATAAGCAGAAAGCAGACTGTTGTCAAATATGACTGGAAGCCCTTAGTGCTGCCTCCTACCTGCCACTGATGAGTCACCCATGTCTAAGACTAAACACTTAGTCAATCATCACTTAGTATGCACAAACTTTATGTTTAAGAATGAATTCTTTCAACCCTGCAGGTAAGACACTATGACAGCAAAAAGCCAGCAAAGCAGTCTTTATGCAAATTTCCTTGAGTGCCAGTCTTTTTTTTAAACAAATAGTGTGCTTGGCATTTTCCTACCATGAATGAATGCACTTCGGTGTTCAGGTAAGTTAATAACAATAATGGGCTGCATTGTTATCCTATTCCTCTGAAGCACCATTGACTCAAATTTCTGTAAAATCTTCTTCAATAGGTAGATGAGGCAAACCTTTCCATGATTACTGGGTGGTATTCAAGAGGGCCCAATAATGTACAGTAGGACACAGCTTTTTACTGTTGCATCAGTCATCAGTGCTATCATTGGGTCAACTCTGACACTGAACAGTAAATTAATTCCTACATCAGAGGCATCTACATAAATCTGGTTTAGGGTCTTGAGGTCCCCTCCTTACCTTGCCCAGTAGGACACCCATCTTGTGCCTCCAGCGGCCTTTGTTAAGAGAAGCCACTCTGATCCACAGGTTGAGCTGTGAGTTGTACATCCACACATCCCTGCTGTTGATACGACCACCTAAAATCACCAAAAGGCAAAATGGCAGGTTCTTTCAATAATGCTGTTGAGTAGATGGGCAAAAACTCAATTTAGTACTAGGCAATTTAGTTTATTATTATTAGTAGTATTGTCTGTTAATGCAGTTGACCTGATATAAATGTGAAGATTAACAAGTAAGCCCAAGCTGCTCTGGTGAACAGCCAACTTTGAATAGTGTGTTTATGTCAAAGTAACTGGAGCAAAGTTGTAAGAGTCTTATCTGACTTTGAACTAAGCTGGGTATAAAGACAACTACAACTACTTCTACAACATGACCAAGTTATCTGTTGTCTCTGGGTATACATGCATTGTAAGAACTTGTAGAGATAAACAACGGTGCCCCAACTAGGTTACGAGCACCGTGACATGCCCTTTCTCTCTCTCAATAACCCCTGTTGAGCCACATCTTATTTAAGACCACAGCTAACAGGAGCTGTACTAGAGACTGGAGGCCTCCAAGGTATTTTCACCACTACACCCTTCCCACCAAACAAATGCACATGTACACACATCTGTGTATTGATTCATTACAAAAAATGTAACTGTTTTTTAAAAATACAGTGGTGGGATGAGCAAACTTTGCTGCATGGAGAACAGACAATGGATTGCATTCACTGGGAAAAACTGCTAACAGTAAAGATAAAGAAAATCATTGAGAAACTAAAAGAGTTCTTAATAACCAGTAGCTGTTATCTGATGGCTTTTATCCAACAATCTGTCCAGAAGAAGCATATATCAGAGCATATCTGTAGGATGGATTGCAACAAAAGTCAAGCAGATAAACAGAAAGATTGGTCACATTCTGTTATTTCACATCAGGACTTAAACTGATCACATGATGGTGATATCATTTAATGAAATACATGTTATGAAAATTGATATAAACAGTCCTGCCTTCAAACAATCTTCCTTTAAAACATTATGCCCTTTAGAGAAAAGCAGTTTAATGCCAAATATTAATACATAATAATCTCCAAAACCTAAATAAATTAAAAAAAATCTCAATCTATTATATTTTGTTGGTGGTAGTGTCCACAGTTTCCTGTTTTTGGTTGTACAGAACACGTATGGATGGCAATCTGGAGCAATCACAAGGGCATAAAGAAAAACTGCCACTGTAAACAAGGGTGTCTAGGCCTCTCGTGCATGTATAGGGAAACAAAGCAGGAGCTTCCCATATTGTAAGATGGATGACAATAAGACTAGAGAGATGTGTATAAATAGTAGTCTTGTGTTTCATCCAAACAATTTAAAAAAAGACCTCCTTGAAAAGTCATCTAAATAAGTATTTAAGTAGCTATATATGTTTACAGGACCTCTTGATTTGTGTTGATGGATAGTATAAGGTAGTTAATATCAGTCATTTTTAATTAGTGTAGCAGACCAACAAAAGGAGATGAGAAGGAAGTGAGTGGCAGAAATGTGTCTGCGTGATAATCTGCAAAACAATGAAAGAGCTGCTGCCCTTGAGGTTTTTGCAGGCCTCCAGACTAACATGTCATAATGGTGGCACTGATGCCACCAAGTCTCTCAGATGGTGGCAGACCCTCAATCCGCAGTATGAGTAGGAATGTGCGCGCGCCCCTCATCCATGTCTGCACAGGGGTATGGGTAAAGCATGGATCCCCTTTAAGACTACAGATAGCTGCAGCTGCATTAGAAACTGGAAACCCAAAATATTTACCAGTGTGAAGACAGGGGCAGACAGATAGAATGGAGGCATGTGTGGGGATGTACACAAGAGACTGCCAGATAAGAAAACCAAGCTGAAAAAATGGGATTAAATGTATCAGTGAAAATAGGACAATGAAAATCATAACATGCTAGTGCATATATGTCCAGATGGGTGACAAAGTAAAATCCAATATAAAGTCTCTCAGGAAGGTGTCGGGCCACCACATGCCACCAGAACAGTTTCAGTGCTCCTTTGCATTGATTCTACAAGTCTCTGGACTCTATTGGAGGGATTAACTACATGTAATTAAACTAGCATTTTAACTATATTTTGCAGTAGCTTGCTGGAGGTTCAACTACATTCATATTTGCATAATGATTCAAGTAGCTCAATAACTATTTAGCCATTTTTTGTGTACTACTGAAACTACAAACTGTTTTAGGATGTAAAAGGAAAGGAATTATTTTTATTTTTATTTGTACCATGCTGCATGTGAGTGGCTTTTCAGGATTGGCACGGGCAGTTTCAGTTCACAACAAAAATAAAACATTCTTTGCACTTTTATCCATGTGAAAACCCCAGATGGGACAGTTTTATTTAGGACAGGTTTAGTTCTCAGGCAACAAACTCAATTGAGTGGCTTTTTTTGCCATCATGTGACTGTTGTGTATTAGTATTATTACGATTTTGTATCAGATATATCAACACAATCATTTTTTCACAAAGTAGTTTGAACTAATCTTTCTAAGCAGCTTTAGATAGCCAAACTAGATTTCTCCCTAGCTTTGATGTAGCTCAACTTCTTCCAGTGTAAAGTAATTAGGCTATGCTTTCTAAGTATTAGCATTTGTTGTTTCTGCGCTCATTTATTCAGGGTTTACTTTTAATTTGCATACATCTGTGCTGTATGTGTGTGAGACAGAAAGACATGTGGGAAGGAGTATGCTTGACTGTGCTTAAGGGCAGATCGATAGCACGCACGTGAGGACTTGGCACAGTGAGAGTATAAAGAAAACCATGAACACACTCTTGAAGGAAAAAACACTCTTTTTTTCCTTAATATCTTCTCTTTCACTTTTTCTCTTCTTGTCTATATCTTTCATCAGCTGGTTTTGTCTAGAAGTGCTTTTCAGCTCATTTAAAGCATGTCTGAGCATCAGCTGTGGTACCAAGCACATTTGAACTTGTCTCGATCTATTTTCTTGGAAATGATTTCACAAAAAAAGAAGAAGAACAAAACCTTTGACCTAGAAGCCATCAGTCCTGCAGCAATACAGAACTGCATCTTGTACACATCACATTTATAATCCATGTTTGACTTTGGCAGCTGCCCTTTACTCTGACTCCAAATGCTGGATGATGTAATACTAATATATTTAATCTAGATCTTTTTTTGACAAAGGAGACTTACATCAAACTTGGCCCACACTAAGGTTCCAAAAATGCAGCAACCTTTCCAGGAGGCCATGAGAGCTATAATTTTTCAGTCATAGGTTTATTTCAAATGTATGGCATTCTATTGCAGCAGTGTCAAATTGAAAGGGTTTGTTAGAGTTCTGTATAAAGATGATCCTAGAAAGCTGCTGAAATAATGGATAAGGTGATGACTGTTAACTGGCCAATATGAAAAGGAAAGAAACAAGAGAGCCATGAACCTCTCTCTCAGCACAGAGCCTGGAGAGTGCATCCAGATGCTGATCTCATATTTTCCTTTCACTCAAACAGTCAGAGGCTGTACAAACAACACAGGGCAAACTGCCACCATGGCCTTTCCTGCCACTCCACTGGGAGATTAGATGGAGTTAAGCACAAACACACACTCACCATGTCCCTCAAGATTGTACTAGAGAATTTTTGTTTTTATGTGTGACACAATCTTACACTAATTAAAAGAATCTGGACTTTGCAATAACCAAGAACATACTGACTCAGAAGAAGAAGGTATATTACCAAAGCTTGAAACTGACTTTTGGACCACTACTCATGATATGACAAACAGATTCTAACTTACTAGCCATTTTGAATTTCCAATAGCCAAAATTGTTTTCCTGAAAAATCAAAAACTGTAGGTCATTGATCGGTTTCTAAAGAGGGAAAATCAAAAGGCAACGAGGAAGGAAAGGTGTTTAAGCACATTTTGGAATCAGATTCATCATTTGTCAAATCATTTGTAACTTGACAACATTAGCTGTCAGAGTTAATAGACACCTGTACATTGCAGTTTGGCTTGTGCTCATTTCAGGCCTTGATAGAACCATGCTATTGAATTTTTGTAACAAATATAGGGGGGTCTTACCTGACACCAGAATGTCATTGCGAAGGGCGCAGACAGCATACTCTGACTTGGTGAACTCTGGCAGTTTAGCCAGTGGTTTCCACTCTCCTGTGACTGGATCATAGCATTCAGTGTAGGGCAAATTGAAACCACCCATTCTCTCACAGCCACCCACCACAACAATCACCTCAGAGTAGCCAGTGGACCTGTACAGAAGAATGGGGGAAGGTCAGACAGAAGGAGAGATGGAAAATTTAGAGATGGAGGGGGAATAACAACATAGAAGAAGCTATTATAAAGCAAACACAAGAACATTCAAATTAAACGGCTCGTCACAGGAATTAGCAGACATGGCATCTGGTTCAAGATGGTGCCTCAGTTGTGTGCTCTCTTTTGTGTTTTTGCTGTTTCTGCTGGGTTTTCTGCAATCCACCTTTACTAAAGAAGAGCTCTTAAACATCAAACAGCTCGCTCCGAACACTTTCTCCTGTTGTTACAAATGAAAAATGTGCAGACATTTTAGTCAGAGAAACAGCAGCTCTCTATGAGACCTAGAGAAGATGCATGCAGGGAGAGCAAGTTGGTGTACTGGTTAAGTTATGACAGCGAGGAGCCCATCTATTAACCTAATGAATCTCCGCTCTCTAGCCAACAAAATGGATGAACTGCTTCTCGTTAACCATACTAACTCTGACTTCACACGTTCTGTTGTTCTGTGCTTCACTGAGACCCGGCTCGTGGAGTCCATCTCGGACAGCGCAGCTCAGCTGCCAGGCTCCAAGCGCCACAAAGTCGACCGCATAACGGTCCCCCCTACAACTACCTCCCCTCCTCTAGCCCCCCACCCCTGACAATCTGTGAAGAGGATGTGCGTGGTCTCTTTCAGAGACAAAATATCAGGAAGGCACCACACCCAGACAGTGAGACTCCCTCCTGTCTGAAAGTCTGTCATGAAGTCCTTTGAGAATCCGGTGTTGATCCATCTGAAGGACATCTCAGGCCCACTGCTAGACCCCCTGCAGTTTGCCTTCTGGGCAAACTGGTCAGTGGATGATGCAGTCAACAGAGAATTGCATTATATTCTGCAACCCCTCAACTCCCAAGAGACCTGTGCACAGGTCCTCTTTGTGGTCTTCAGCTCAGCATTCAACATCATCATCCCAGACATCCTGCACTCCAAACTCACCCAGCTCACTATGCTTGCCCATACCTGTCAGTGGGTCACCAGCTTTGTGGCAGATAGGAGGCAGCAGGTGAAACTGGAAAAACCACATCCAGGACCGGATCAGTCGGCACAAGCACCCCTCCAGGGATGTGTGCTCTCCCTGCCGCTCTTTTCCCTCTACACCAATGACTACACCTCAGACAACCCCTCTGTTAAACTCCTGAAGTTCAAAGATGGCAAAGGTCATTGGTCTCATCCAAGATGGCGACAAGTCTGCATACAGACAGGAGGTTGAACCTGTGGTGTAGCCGAAACAACCTGGAGCTGAACACACTCAAAACTGTGGAGATGAAAATGGACTTCAGGAAGAGCCCCCATACTCTACCCAACACCATATTCAGCAGCACTGTCATCAGCAGTGGAGACCTTCAAGTTTTGGGGCTCCACAGCAGAGGATATACTAAGTTTGTTCTCTGCACTTCCATCACTGTCTGGTTTGACTCAGCAACCAAACATGACAGGAACAGACTCCAAAGGACAGTTCAAACTGCAGAAAGAATCATCTGTGCCAACCTGACCTCCTTAAAAGACCTGTACACGTCATGGGTCAAGAGGAGGGCAGAGAAGATTTCTGAAGACCCCTCACATCCTGGTCACAAACTGTTATATAAACAGGTGCAACAGGTGAAGAGAAAACAGAAGAATGTTTGCTACATCCGTCCTACTGAGCACACAGTTCTTTAAGTGTGTGTAGTTTGTATTTGGCATTTTACCGCAGGTTGGATGCACTGTACACAGATGCATTTCATGTGTAGCCAGTAATTCTCTCATTGTGTACTATCTGTTGGAGATGTAGCTTCCCCTTCTCCAATGTGTTTCTTTAGGCTCCTCTGTGCACTTTTTGGGACACCAGGGCTTCCAATGTGCAAGTGAACACCAGCGCGAGTCTAGCTCGAGATGCAAGTGAGATGCTACGCATGGCACACACTATGCTTTTGGTCTGTGCGTGTGCAACGTGGACTGTCGTGTCTCTAAATCTGATCAGCATAAAATTGTAAATCTCAGAGTGGTGAAGGCGGATCATGCTGAAAACCGGCCATTTCCATTCTCCGCCGATAGATGCATCTCTAATTATTTTACCTACTTGTATACATTCACAGTATGAGACAGTCTAGCCCAGGAACAATATAGCTTTAAGTGTGTGTGCATGTGGTTAATTAGATTCTATAGGCTTCCCAAGAGAAAAGAGGCCCCAGTGTAGACACAGAAAAGAGAGAATCACGCATCTGTTTTGAGCAGGAAAAGATATGTCCCTCAAGGCAAACAAAGTTGACAATATGTGGGACTAACTGCCTGACTGGCTTTCTGATCTGAACAGATCTGCCTGCATACAGGCAGAATAAACCTGAATAGCATGTCAGGCTGCCATTAATAAGTGACAACTGGCACTGTTCCCACTTTAGCCCTTACAGCAGATCTAACACACAAAGGCAGCTGCATTGTTGTTTGACGTACAGCGAGCTACCATATGGTCTGTTTTGTATCTCATTCATAAGGTTTCAGTCAACATCAACCTTTATCAAACCAAATACAAAAAAAACAAACACCGTTAATAAAAGACTATTTCGAAATAGGTATATAAAGAACAGGTGGGGACACTCAAACACATCAGCAAGGTGAGTTAACACTGCTGGTACTATAACAAGTCTCAACATTTCATGACTGCTGTTTCTTGCATCAGATTATTTTTTTCTTTCCAGCAAACCGGTCTGTGTATGGACATGCCCAGCCTCCTTCATTATCATTTCCATTACAAAATAGGACAACAAAACACAGCTTGGTCAATGACACACTTGTCTGTTCAGCACATAAACACTCCTTGTCTCTTTGTCTCTCTCTCGCTCACACACACACACACACACACACACACACACACATAACCATAACACTGCCAGGAGCACAGAGTTCATGCAGAAGTTGTAACCTCTAGCTAGCCAGTGTGGGACAAAAGACTAACTGCTTAAAAAAGACATGTTTTCTTATCTCAATGTTTTATGTCAGTGTTTCAGCCCGATATGATGAAACAGCTGTTAGATAAGGTCAAACTAAAGATTTTTTCTTTTTTACTGGAAAATAATTAGAGACAAAAGGGAGATAAATGATCCATTATTCATGTGACTGCAGCACAACATGTTCTGTAAGCATGTACCTAGACTAACAAGTCATACTACTTCCTCAGGCCAAAAATATTGTGACAGCATACACTGATTGATGAACTAATGCTGCTTTCCTTTCGTAAATAAATTCTAGGCTATTCTTCATCTTCCTCATTCCTTGTAAGTCAACATTTTAGTTACCTGCGTGGACGAGTTCTGGGTGACATCATTTCATTACCAAGCACGTGATAGCGCCTGGCCTCATGGAGAAGCTGGTAGCACTCTGGGGCATTCTGGATGAGCTGGTCTCCCTCCACTGTCTGGACAAAGTAGTTGGGGTGCAGAAGGGGCAGGCGCACATGGTGCAGCAGTGCCTTCAGCATGGGCCTCCTGTGCTCCACACTGTGGTACACCCATCGCATCACTGCCTCAAAGACCACCTCCTCCTTCCCAATGGACAGCTCATCACTGGCAATGTATTCTTCCAGCTCTTCTCTGCGTAGGTCGAGGAACTCCTCATGTTGAGACACCTCTGAGAAGTTGGCCAGGGCGTAACTGTTGCAGCGGCTGGCTAGCTGCTTCAGGGCATGTGCATCTGCAAACTGCTGGATACCCAGGCAGTTGCATGGGTCCAGCTGGTCCTCCAGGAACTTTGCACAGGCATCACGCAGTGTGGTTATCTGGAAGAGGTTGGAGGTTTCAAAGAGGAATTGGACATTCTCAGTGGTGATTTTGGCGCGGCCAGTGTAAACATAGGTGAGGAAGGAGTCCATCGCCTCAGCCAGTATGCCATTGATCTCGACAAGCATCTCACGGCTCTCACGGTGATCATTGCAAAACATAGCTCTGAAGTAGGAAGAGCAAGCTGAGAGCACGGCACGATGACACGGGAACTCGCGGCCCTGCACACTGATGACCACATCGGTGAAGAGGCGGCAGTCGCGAAACTCATTGAACACCTGCAGGATGCCCTCTGAGTGGGACGAGCCAGAACAAAAGTCCAAGACATCCTGAACAGCCAAAGTTTTGGAGTCAACCTCAAACACCTTAGGGATCAAAAACATATATGAAATTTGTGACTTCAGTAAGTTGAGACCAAAACTGCAAGATAGAAATCATATAAAATGTTTCTTTAACAGCACCTTGCGTTTAACAGCTGGTGAGTCTCTGATCCCGGGGTCCTCCCTGTTCATCCTTCTGCCCAGAATCAACACCATGGCTGCCACCTTCAATGTAGACCTTCTCTAAACTTTAAGATAACCTGGGGATGGAGGGCAGGTAGTACATTGTTATTACAAAAATAACTGTTTCCATCAAATATTACTATATAATGTTAGCACAGCATCCTATTAGATGTGGTAGGGTAATACAGAAACGGACATAAATAGAAACCAAACTGGATCACACTAGCACAAACCGAGAACATTCTTTACATGAAAACAAAGCATGTTCATAGAAGTTAGAAAAAACACAAGTACCTCAAACAATTTTCTCAAGTCTGTGGCGTACTATTAAAATCCCTTACATCACAGTTTAAGAAAAGTAGTTTCAAAGAATGAAATCTGAGCTGCACACATGGCTCCATGACACCTGCTCTACCCCATCATTGCTGCGTAACAGTTGTGCCCTGCAGCACAACAGATTGCATGAGACAAAAGATGACAAAGAGACACTAGCAGAAGAGAGACTGAGCAGTGGTTGGAAGACCAACCCATACATGTCAGCCAGGTTGAAAGACAGAGGGAGCAGAGATGCTACCAAACACTACTTATCATTGTTTGAATAACAAAGTCAGAGCTTCTGATAATCTTGTTTCATCATTTCTGTTTTAGTTAAACCTGTGGTCTTATGTCATTTACCTCTTTTAAAATATGTACTTGTGTCAATCAACCAAGATTTCTCATGAATTATGCTTTGTTCACATCCACAAAGCCTGTGTATTTATTTTGGACATCCTGTTCCAAAGTTCTTGAAGATACAAAAGATTAAAATCTTTTATCTATAGCCACATTGTCTCCATTAAAGCTTGCAGTATATCTGGCCTTTCCTCCTGTGAGTTAACTTAATTATCTCAGGTTATTTTTACCTTTGGCTCAGCCTAGGCAGACTCAGCCTATTTACGTGTGTTATTTGCAAGCAACATCACCTCCTAGAAGTCGTAGAGAGTAGAGGACAGGTTTAACCAGGGATGTCTGACGCATATAAGATTTACTTTGTGACTAATACCTACCGATGAAGAACCCCATAAAACAAATAACATAAAATGAAATAAAACCGATTTTATTGTGGAATCCGTTAATTGTATTATTGTTTGGCGTTTTCCAGGTGGAACCACGCAAAATTGAGAATTGATAGAGGCTTATGACAAATAATAAGTATTATTTTGAAAGATATTTAGGTGTGAAATATGTTGTAGTCTATGTAATTATTAAAATATTAACTACAGATATGCAAGTAAATATATTTACAATATAACCATGTAAATAAACAGGCAGAAAAACTATCTGCCCGGTGTATTAGACAAAGGAAACGTGCCGCTAACCCTTGACAACATGCTAAGTAAAGTGGCTAATCCGTTGTTTTATTCACTATTGCGACAAACTCAAGAGCAGGAAATAACTACATATTCAAAGAGCATAAACATTAACAACAGTCTTTGTTTCAGACAAACGTTGTTACCTTATGAGGAAGTCTCAAGATGAAGTTTCCTCTTCAGTTACAAAGTGGATAAAATAAAAAAAAGTGTGGAGAAAAAAAATCTATATGCTGACGAGATTTATTGGTATGTCTGACAATATCTGCCCGCCATCAGTTATGAGAAATAAAGTCAACTGTTAAACAGATAGAACATGTTGAATTCCACTTGAAGACATAAACAAAGAGTTCTAACACTAACTGTAAACACAGAAGCTATATATAGTTGTCGGCCTAAAAAAAATCTAGTCCACTGTGCATCATGGGCAATGGAGTTCAATTGACAGCGTTATCGATTATTTTTTGCGAAATAAGAAACTACATTTCCCACGAGCCTTGCGTTCTCCACGTGGCTGTCCTTTGTTTGCAAACAAACCCAACTCTCAATGGAAAAAAACTTGACTAAGACGTAACTGCAGTTAAGCAATACATTCAAAACAATATCAGTTTTATAGTTTTACTTGTATGAACACGTATGACAATTAGTAAGGTAGTATTAACGGAACATGCTAGGAAAATGCCATTAAATTCAGCTAAAGATTTGTATAAAGCGTGTATTTGTGTTTAGGTCGACATAGTAGTTAGGCTATATATATATATATATATATATATAGATATAAATGTTAGGCTATATATATATATATATATATATATATATACATACGATTATGAAAACATAAAAAGCATTGTGTAACCAAAAAGGCGATAACAATAATGTGATTTTATGGGCACGTGAAAGCAGTATGAAACGCAAGACACTCTGTTTTTCAGACGAGGAAGGAGGAGCTTAGTTTGAACAAAGGATATCACAATTTCCCTACTCCGTTGCAAAAGTATTATTATTGCTATTCCCAACCGATTTCCGTGATAGTGTCCACACTGCTGTATGTTATCACTTACCCAGTTTACAGCGTTCTGAACCACGTGTTACCAGCACTTGGGAGAAGTGTACCCTTTCCACATTATGACAGCCCACACACTTCTACAGTATACACATTCATATTTATATATTGTTTTTGCAAATCTATATATCATCCTGACCTAAGTAAAGATCATAAGAACCAAGCAGTACTGTCTCTGTGTAGATTTTGGGATGGCTATTACATCTTCACGCCACAGATGTGGAGCAAGATCACTCACAGTCAAAGGTCTCTATCCCAGTCATACAGGTTTAGTGAGCTCCATCACCACGATCAATAATACACAAAAAGTTGAACATCCATGTCATGTCGAATTTATTTATGTAAGAAAACCTGGAATTACAGTAAAATCCAAGCACACTCTTCATACTTCATGAACACAAAGGAGAGAGTGAAATACAAGGGCAAGTCTGGGACACCTAAAGAATAAAGATCCAGATCCAAAACACCTGGAAAAACATCCAGGGAATATGTCCCAGGGCATCTGATGGTCCAGCACAGACAGGAAGCAGAAAACAGAGACAAGAGAGAGGGAGACGGGAGAGATACAAAGCTTGGATGCTCATATAGAGAACAAAACTTGCCCACAAACTGAGGCACTGGACAACACATCAGCAGCTCAGTGCTGGACATAAAGGAACTGAAGGATTAGGCAGAGGTCAAGAATGTGAAAGGAAGGTTGTTTTGGCCTTCAGGCACCTGCTGTATGAGTTCACCAGAACAAAACTGTCATCAGAGAAGACAAAAAGAAATATTAGCAAGGCATCCCTCACCCTGAAGAGCAAAAACAATGTATAGATGTGAAATATATATGTAGTGTTAGAGCTGTATAGTTTCAGTGCCATGGAAACTGATACAAAAATGGCAGTTGTGGTTTTTTGTCAACCCTGTGTGTGTGTGTGTGTGTGTGTGTATTGTATCCTACTGCAATTGTAGAATGGTTGACAGTGAGCAGAGGGATTGGAGCAAGGCAGTGGACAGACAAATGAGTCCCTCTGCTGTTGAGTTGTTGAACCAGATACAGGTGGCACAAATGCAGCCAGGATGTCTGACTCATCACTATCCACTGCATTTTCCTACATGAGGTAAAGTGCACTTCCTCCTCTCCTTTAATGCCTTAATTTGCCAAGTCAATTATTGATTTTGACAAACACAGCAGTAACAGAGACGTCAATCCCAGACAGGAAAAAAAAAAATTATGACTGAAGAACATGACGTGCTTTATACAAACAAAATACACACAAGAGCAAAGACCACAGTTGTCAGGGATGATCGATCACTATGACATCACCATATGATACAATACATGGACATGTGGTAGGTCCTCAGTATTGTTTCTGAGAATTTAGAGGTTTAACAACATGAGGGGGAATTTATGCTCTATAATTACACACAAATTACACAGTGTAGGCCACAAGCAAATGAGGTACAAATAACATACAAATTCTAATATAAATAATAATAACCATAAAACAGTGTCAGTATAATAATGTCTGAGCAGTGAAACATGTTCCACTGTGGTTTGACTAATCTGAGCAGAGAAGGCAGGTTTTTAGTAAATGTGCAGATGCCTGTCAAAATATTTAAACATATCCAAACACACTGAAACAGCAGCTTTAATTTCATTAATTTAAATGAAAAAAGCATAGGTCCTTATTGAGCATGAGTGTTCAAATGCTTTTTCAAAAACTAGCCATATTTCATAGTTAAAATGATTTTTGTATTATCTGAGTATGAATCAGTTTATCTTATTCATCTTTTACTGTGAAGAACATTGTAACTTTTGTTTTGAAAAGTGCTAAACAAATAAACCTAACTTGCATTCTTTGCATAGTGGTGCATTTTGAAAATATATTTAGACAATCATGAGATCATCATCATGTGATTTTTTTATTTTTATTTATTTTTTTGGTGGCTTGCCAGTATAAAAATATTTGGACTAGAGGAATTCGAACTCATTACCTCAGTAATTTAAAGTTACATCTTTGTTTGTCAGACTGCAAAACACACAGGAAATGAATTGACAAAGTTCAGTGACTACAAATAACAGACAGTTCTGAAGAGTCACTTATGGGTTTATGGTCTGGCTCTGAGACTCCTGTGTTGTTGCAGCAGCTGCATTAGAGTATCAGAAATCTCCCTGTACCTCAGCCCATATAGGAAAGGAGCAAATGCCCTGGGCAGCAACGTGAAAACACACATATTTACTGTGCTGATCCACACACGAACATCTTGATCTTGTTCCGCCTGGAAGAGGAAGAGCTCCAAGATGAAAACAAAACCAGGGGCAAAGTAGAGCAGGAGCAGTATTCCATGAGCCAGCATTGTGACCCGGGCTCTGGAGAAGCGGTTCTTCCAGATGCCCTGGGTCCTTGTTACCATGTAGAGCCGAATGTAACAGTACAAAATGAGTACAGCACAGATGAGTGCTGCTACAAAGAAGTAGATGTGGATCCCCATTACCACCTTCTCAGCCTGAATGATGCCAAGGGAGATGAGGATCAGACAGACAGGTATATTCTCATGGGAATTTTCCCTTTTCACCTCTACCTTGATCATCAGAGCGAAAGGGTATATGGCTGCCAGCAGCCACACCCCTACCAGTATGCAGTGGATACGGGGATGTGGAAGAATACCATGGTACCAAAGAGGCCAGCGGACGGCAGCATAGGTGTCAACCACCATGAGGGTGATGGTGATGATGGCACAGCAGTAGGCGGTGATAGTGCCAGCTGTGACCAGCTGACAAAGCATCCAGGGCATCTGAGTTCTCACAGCATTACAAATCACTGTGGCCAGATTCAGGATGAGAAAGAGCACATCTGCTGTCAGGGTGTTGGCCAACAGCAGGTAACGTGTCTCCTGACGCAAGGCACGGGACATAAAGATGCATGTCAGGAGAGCGAGGTTGGCTAGAAAAGTGACCAGTGTGATGAGCGTGGTAGGGATGAGAAAATATTCTAGGTGCCACTTCTGCAAAGTTACACTCCACTGCTGTGTGAAGTTCAAAATATCTATAGTTGATGGCATTTTGTCTGTGAGTTATGAATGAGACAAAGATGGTCTGACTGGGTGACTTTTATGATGTGCTGATATGATGTCCTTCCTCCATTGACTTACTGTGGATGAAAACAGAAAATTGTATCAAGAATCAAAGTGAATCACAGTCAAAATGCAAGCATGTAAGTAATTGCATAAAAATATGAAGAGACTATTTTACACAATTGCTACATTATTGCAACTCCATTAGAAGCTAAAAGAAACTGAAAAAGCAGCAGCAGATATTAAAACAATATCTAAGTGTTCTCATATCCATCATCTCGATGTATTGCAGGTCAGGTAAACCTGCTATGTATCACTTTTTCATGCACTGCTTTGACCGACTCCCTCTTGATTTTAGATACAACTTTTGCTGCTTTTAAAGCGATTTTTAGCCTGGGCTTTTATTAAAATGAACCGCTGCTGCTTTGTCTAAATTTAAATAGAGACAACAACACACAGTAATGGACTTGCCCTTCAGAGTGATGTTGTACATGAAAATAAAGTCAAACGAAGGAGCTGTAAATGACTAGAAAATATACACACATCATTTAAACCCAACATTAAAACAGACTTCAGGAGCTGTTTGGATCAGAATATCTTTTGAGGAATTTTAATATACATACATATCATCTCAGGTCGGGCATCAGATCAACAAACAGAATAAAAACTTTAGGAATAATACAAACATGATAACAATACCTCCACTACTCCCACAGTAAATGCTTACAAACCCTTCAGACAAACAGAAAATTGCTCAGTTCTGTTCAAACTTTGCACAAACACATCTATCATCAAATTATCGACTGACCAAAGGTGAGTTTTCTTACCTGATACCCAGAACAGAAAAACCTCTCTGTTGCATATCCATTAAGCATAGTGCCTCTATAAATCTATGGGTGTTTTCATCGCACCCGCTGGCCTTATCTGATCTGCTCTTTGTTGACTCAGACAAAATACAAGGATGGAGGAAGCTACGGCCACCTGGTTGTCACATAGTTACGGGGTGGAGCTTTTTATCTACTAAGCATGAGGAGCAGATATCTGTTTTTCACTATTTTCTACCCAAGATGTTTTAAATTCAATTCTGTTACAGCTCATTCAAAAACAATCTTTTATTAAACTGATTAGTTTTGCAATTCCTTCTTAATTTAAGCCTATGAGATTCCTTGAAATTATTGGGCCACTTAAGGAAAGTCAAAAAACTTTTTCAGAGTGGAAAGAACATATGGGAGAAATGATTAACCATGTCCATGCCTGAAAGCTGTAGCTCATCCATATGAAGTCATCACCTATTAGCCCAAGCACACATTGACATCACTGCATCTCTCCTCTCGACAAGGCCACGTAGATAAACACAGCAACTTCCAACCAGAAGGTTCTTTAAGTCCAATCAGTTGCTCTTATGTGTGCGTTTGAAAGAGAACATGTTAGTTAACAACAAGCACAACATTACGTCTCCATGTGTGTTTTAGATAAGAGTATTCTATAGGACTTGGTGATAAACCTTACTTCAACAAACTGTTAAAAGAAACCATTTTATTGGTTAATTTGCCATCTGTCATTTTCTCTGTTCACTTAATTTCCTCTTTCAATTATTTTCATTTCCCTCAGTTTTTCCTGTCATTTCTTTGTCCGCTTCCTATAGCCACTTTTCCCTTTTGAATCCTCGTCCTCGTCATCCTCCTCCTCATCATCACTATCACTATCACTATCAGCTTCAATGCTGCCTTGCAGCTGCTCTTCTTCCTGCCATTCTCTTGCCATCAGTTTCTGAAATACATCATACTCCTCTGCTGACGCCCTGGCAACTTTTACAAGGTAGGTGTCCTGGTCAACCTTAAGGATGCTGTCCAGCTTGGGGTTGATAATGCTTGTCTGTCCTTTCTTGTCCGGGGTTTGGTACAGACCCCTACGCTCCAGAAAACAGTGTCGACAGCGAACTTCGTCTAGAGTGAAACGAAACAACCTGGACTTCACCATCTCTCTCTGTTTAACACCCATTCGGAAGTAGACGTACTGTGGAGAGATGGGTTAAAACACAGGGTTACAAACTAACAACTATCAATGTATAATGACAAAAACACTAAACGATAACCTCAAATAAATACTTCTAATATCGGTTGTTCAACAAATATAATGTACCTGGAACATGTGAGCAACACCAGATATTATATTTAGCTATATGACACATATCCCATTATTTGTAGTTAAATGATCTCCACTTAATAACAATACTGTAACCCACCCACAGCCACTGTTGCCTTAGAGCTGTGGCATTCACATGCAGTCACCAGGCGGAGTACCACTGCGTGTCCCAGAGCCATAAAGCATATGAATTCTAAGTACGTTATAAAGATGTAGTGTGTTCAAACTGCAAAAGTGGCAAGTCACTAAATGTAGGCACATTGTGAATAGTGGTGAAACGGCTAGGGAACACCTCAGGGAAAAAAAACCTACTGGAGGAAAAAAAAAGTCTGTGAAGTTTAAATGGCAGTGTCTTTACAAGTCATAGTGTGATCAACATCTGTCAGCACAAGCCTTGTATCATTTCCTGTTAGTGCAAAAGATTAAGTAAAACCAATATACTATAAATAGTATACTGTACGGGAAGAATATCAGGTTGAAACTGGGACACAGACAATGCAAAGCATTGCCTTATATCATGACTGTGGCCTTTGATTATGATGTATAGTCAAGTTTTGAGGAAGTCAATAAATCTGCATCTGTCCACCAACAGCACTTTACCATGGGAACTGTAGCCTGCCTCTAGATAGTCAGCACTGTCTCCTTTCAAATACTGTTACAACGAATGAATATTCCTATTATCAATCAATCAGCTGATTTTTAAAAATTATTTCTGAAAAGTGAGAAATGTCCAAGTTCATGTTTTCAAAATTGTGTTGTTTGACCAACAGAGAAAAGCAGCATAACTTTACATTTGAGAACCAGCAAATGAGTGACATGTTTTTGACTGATAAATGATTTCATCAAAATTATTGGTTAAGTATCGTCTGTTGATGAACAAATCAATTAACTGTCCAAACAATTCTGCACCAATTTCTTTTTCTCTGGTTCATTAAAATGACTGTAAAACACTCATGCCCTAGTGAGATGTAGATGCACTCCCACTTCCCTCTTGACTGGCTTAAATACTGACCTGAAACTTGTACTCCACCTGGTCCAGGTCTTCCAGTATTATAGCTGGACTGTCTCTGAGGATGTCTGTGACCTGCTGGGCTGTAAACAGGCACTTCTCTCGTAGGAACGCCACCACATATTTTATTGTCTTCACAGGCACTGTCAGAATCTGGGGGTAATAGGCCACCACTCTCTGAAGACTGCCTGTGGGAAGATATGAGGTATAATAATACATCAATATTTAGAAAACCCAAGTCATTATGTATTCTGGGCACAAACAGCTTCCACTTAAAGGATTGTTATGAGTCATGCTGCCCAAAGATCATGATCTCACCTTCAACTAAACCCAGTTTCCGTAAGTTTCCTATGCGCTGCTGCAGCTGCGATTCACTGACAGTGTATAGTTCAGGACACTTCTGCAGCAGCTTCAGCACACTGGAAGGATTGAGGCCCAAAACAAGCAGAGCTGTGAGCGTTGACTGAGCGTGTTTGGCAGCACTTCCTCCTCTGACTTTGGACACAGCCTCATTTATCTGCTCTGCCTGGGCGTCTGTGAATCCTATATCAACTAAAGACAGCAGGAACATTTCTGTGACTGGCTTTTCTGACAGTGGATGGAGTTCATGGTTTTGTTGCGTTGACTGCAGAGTACTCCGGGTGGAGGAACAGAACAAGCTGCACCCGTTACTGACAGGCTGGAGGTGGTATCTCCCAAACTGAAGTGGATTGACTACAGAATAGGTCGCATTTCTCACACTCCACCGAAGAACCTATGGATCAGAAATCAAGGGTATAAAACACTAACCGCAGTTATGTCCCCATTAAAGACAAGTTAACGTTAGCAGAAGTTGTGTTAATAAGTCAGATGTGTTTTCATTATTGACGGTTATAGCGGACGTTTGTGAGCTGTCTGGCTAACTTCGGCATTCTTTTCTATAACTTTTAGTTGTTCAGTTCACCAAGTTAAAATTTTAAATTAAGTGCAAATATATTTTGTTGAAAAATATAGAAATTGTAAAATTTGATTTACCTGACGCACAGCAAGACGAATACCCATGCTTGTCCGTCGCACATATAGTTCCGTCTTTCCGTTTTTTCTCGGTTGTAAGAACAAAGGTTCCACTGTGTCCATTTACTTACAGTTTATATGGCAAACAAGTGATTGATCATCCATCCACTATCTTTACTGCTTATCCTGGACAGCTTCACTTTTGGTACACTTTGTTGATGTAAAAAAAAATATGGCAAAGTTTGCCTCCTTTTAGACAATTTTGGCTAACAATAAAATAATTTAAAAAAATACGCCAAAAATACATTTACACTTTTAATTCAGTATTGTATAACAAGCAGCTCGTTTTGGTTTGTTGGTAGTCAATCAGTCAGTCAATCAGATTCCTGTATCTTTAGTCTCTTAACATTAAAAACCACATTAGAGACAAATACTGGACTTTGACAGTCTGATAGGAAGTTTGCACAGCAAGAGAATCGGTCAGGTCAAGCAGATATTAGATGGCCAAAGTAATCATGAGAATAAAAGATATACTGTAATTAAGAGACAATCCCTCAATGGTTAAAAGGCAAAACAGGTTTGTGGTAAAATATTTATTGTATAAAAATAAATAGCTAAAATATTGTAAATATATTTACAATTTTAATTACAATATTGCAGATTCATATGAAATTAAAATGGATATTTATTAAAGATAGATCAAGAATCCCCCCAACATTAGTTTTCTGTGCAGTTTCTCCGACTGTAGGTAAACAGTTAAAAGTTGTGACACTTATGAGTTTTAACAGAAAATCAGGGTACCCCATTAAGAATCACTATGATTTTGACTCTTCCCCAAATCTAAATAAATAAAATACAATAAATAAAGAAAAGAGCACCGCGACGATCTCATCTTTCTCTGTTGTAATCACAGCAGCAATCACAAATGTCAGCAAGTACATTTTAACCAACCCAGCAGCATGACAATGTTGGCAGCACTGTATAGTTCATAAAGGCAAAGATGCTTTTGTCATCAAACCACGTCAAAGACAGAGAAGTGGCCGCTTGTTTTGCAGTTCATGTCCTCTTTGCACAGCTAAAATGCTGGACAGATGGTTGGACTTCACCCCCTTTAAATCCAGTTGTTAATCCACATGGAGGTACTTCTGCAGCTCAGTCTGCAGGGCCACCATTGACAACCTCTCATCCTCATCTTCCTCCTCATCATCTGGCAGAGTGTCATCACCCTGATCTGGGAACAAGCCTGGACTAATATTAACTTTAGGACTGGAGTCTTGATGCTGTGGTGAGCCTGTTAAAAGAAGAGGCCAAGTACATGAGCTCTACACCACCGCTGTCATTTATTTTGACATGAATACAGTCAATAATACACAATTAAATGTGCCAAAGAATGGCAGAGCATTCAAATGGAAGCTCAGTATATGAGTTAAATGATGTGTACCCATTATTTGGCTCCAAAGAGGGGGGTGCCAGGCCACGCTGACATAAATCTTCAGAGCCCCATAATGAGCAACATTTTCCAGACCTAACCTACCCTTAACACAAACCCAGAACCCTATCCTCACCCAAGCGAAGAGCAGATACATGGCTTGATACACAGCATCTGCCCTGTATTTGCTCAACCCTTTTACCAAGCCTGTCCTCTTATGCTAGTTTATCTCTGCTTAACAGGCATAATCCTCACATACAGTATGTTGCCATTTATAAATCACATACCTATTTTTACCCAATTCACACACCTTTCTTCTGCTCCAAAGCCACTCACTGGACCTTACTACACTATCAGATAGACTACCAATTACCTGTCTTAGGCCCTGCCCTTATATACCCAACTCACCTAGCAGGGAGACAGCTGACTTGGCTACAAATCCCCTATAACCAACCTCCACAGGACAGACTTGAACCTTTCAGTCACACTCCTCTGCCTCCATGGTTAATTGTGTATTTCAGTTTCTTCCTCTCATAAACTGTATCTACAGCGTCCTCCCAGGGAACTGTAAGCTTGACAAAATAGACAGTCCGCTGTGCTTCTGACCACAACACAAGATCTGGTCTCAGGTTAGTGTTGACTATCTCCTCAGGAACTATGAGCCGATTTCACTTGCCAATCTCTCCCTAATACAGTATATTCTAGGGGCTGTACATCTTCCAATTTTTAGTCAGTATTTGTGTTATGAAAATTAAGTCGATTAAGTCTAACGGGTTCTCTGTGTCACTGTACCAGCTGAAATAACAAATTAACAAGGTCAATTTCATGTATAGTTTAAACTTCTAAAACCTCTAAAAATGCAGGAAAAGTTAAACAAAAATTAAGGAAGAAAAAATTTCATAGCAGGCGGGACTTCATCACATCTGAAGAAAACATGATTTGCCAGAGTCAGTGTAGTTGTAAAGAGTACTCACAGTAGCTCAGAGTTACAGGAACCACATCTGTCCAGCTGTATTCTGACAGGGAAATGGGCTGGCTGAGCCAGGACTGCAGCAGCAGCTGGTCCAGGGTCATCCTCTGAACAGGATCAGGGTGTAGCAGCCCACACACCACACCATTCAGCTCTGAGAGTGTACATAGAGATATTTCAGCACTGAGTTTTGAAAAGGAAAAAAAAAAAGTTTTTGGAAACAGAAATGGTCATTATCTGTTACAGCCAATGATAAGAAGAAAATAAAAATTCAGCCAACAGCAAACAGCAGTAGTATACCAGGAGAGAGGGGGAATGGTGGCTTGAGTTTTGCATCCAGGATTTCCCCGACATCACAGAAGGGGTTCTCACTGAATAACAGAGTATAAAGCAAAACACCCAGAGACCACATCTCCAGCTCTGGACCCTCATAACTACAGAAAAACAAATCACAAGGAGACAAACATCAACTTAAAAGGTTTATACTTGACAATATGGAAAGCTGCATTTTATTATGAGTTAATTTAGTACCTGTGCATGGCTTTTCTAACTTTATGACTATAGTGTTTAATTGTGCATTGGAAATGGGTCATAAAAGTCATACAGAACAGGAAAAACAGCACTTGGCATTCACAGTATACTCACGGGTTTCCCTGAAGCACCTCTGGGGAGCAGTATTCCAGTGTGCCACAGAAATTGTAGAAGAGCTTCCCAGGAGCCATCATGGCAGCAGAGCCAAAGTCTATCAGTCGAATGTGGAAACACTTGTCGATGATGATGTTTTCATCTTTTATGTCCCTGTGAAGGATGTTCTTAGACCTCAGATAGAAGACAGCTGCCACCAGCTGTGAAACCAGAAAACAAAAATCCAGTTCTACAAGGGACAAATACACTTCATATTTCAGAGTCCATTTATTTACCTATTCATTTTCTTCATCATGTAGATACTGTACCTGTCTAAAGATGTAGCTGGCCAAGGCCTCATCCAGCCTTGGCTGCATGTCTATGAATTCGAAAAGGTCCAAACAATCCCCATGTTTCTCCATCACCATCTGGAAGTAACTCCCATTCTCAAACACCTCCAGCACCTAATTTCAGACATACAAATGATGCAGAGAAAGGAATTTAATAAGCACACATTTCTGAAACCTTGTTACTTAAGTGTTGGTATGTGACAAACCAGTTACCTTGACTATGTTGTGGTGCTGTACACGTGTCAGTAGAGCGATCTCTTGGCTGACTCTTCCCAACATGGGGTCATCCACCCAGCAGTCACTTACTATCCTGGCCTTGCTAATGAACTTCACTATCACCTGTAAGAGGCCATATTGTCATCATCTTGGCAAATTAGGGCTTTTGTATCAAAAAACTATTTTAAATCTATCTCCATAGAAACTGCTACACACAGCATAGTACACTCATGAGCTAAAACATTACAACCCGCACAGGCGCTCTGCAGCACTGTGTGTTGTGACATATTCATAATGATAACCATGGTAAATGGTAAATGGACTGTATTTATATAGCGCTTTCTCACAGTGTGTTACACTGGCCAAAGCGCTTTACAGGAGATCATACACCATTCACCCATTCACACACACATTCACACACCGATGACCGATGATGATAAAGGTTTTCTGCAACTTGTGCCAGAAGCCCTTCTCTTGGTTTGGACCAGATGAAATACCCTCGGTTTCCCTCGCACATCACTGACGTGCCAGCTTGTAGGTTGTTGCCCTTATACCACTGTCAGTAGGCACTTCCCACTGCTGAACAGGAGCACCCTGCAGCACTGATGGTTCACTTTACATCCAATACATCTCAAAACTTGACATGCACTTATATTATATAATATTTACTTCATCCGTGTGTTCATGTTTTGGCTCTTCAGTGTAAATACAGAAATGGTAGGTTTCTCCACTAATAAAATGTTTTCTTACTTCTTGTCCATCACAGCGCCTTGTTGCCTTCCAGACAAAACCAAAGGCTCCTTTACCCACAGCTTTGAGCGGCTGGTACTCTTCTGCAAACTGTCCATCACAGGCTTGAGATTGCTCTAGGTCTACGGTGGAGCGTAAAGCCTCCACATGACTGGCCTCACCAATCCTCTAAACGAGGAATGGATGAATGAGTTGAAAGCAGAGAAAACATTTTATATTTAGATAACAAAACAATGTGCCATACTAAGAGTAAGCTCTTTAATGCCACTGACCTCGCCTAGACTGGCTCCTGAGTGATTGTGCAATGAGTGATCTGTTTGCAAGTGTTCCCCCTGCTGGCCTGGCCTACTCATCCACACACAAAACACAGAGCTTCCATCAAGGAGGTTGGTCCTGCACACATCACACTGCAACTCTGGACAAACAGATTTTAGTCTAAGTCTAGTTGCTTCATGTACGAGAATCTGTAGAGTTTTATGACTGAATCAGAATAAGTCAATTTGTACCAACCTACTCTTGTGCCATCTCTGTGGTACGCACTTCCTTCAAATCGACCCTCCAAAATCCGTGTAGTGTCTGTGGACAAGGCACGTCCATTCACCTTCTGCTTCTTAGGAGTAGACGTGGCAGGAACATCTGTCACTGACTGAATCCCACCATTCATTTGTACACAGAACTCCTGGCTCTTTTCTTTATGAATTGAAGAAAGAGCTGCCCACTGATCCAGATCACCCTGGTCCTTTTCTAGTTGCTCTTCTCCTGAGCCATGTCTGGCCTTCACAGCAGTGTCTCCATTCTCAGCAGGCTCTGCTTCCTGCTCAGACACTACCACACATGGCATGGGTGTCTGCAGGAGCTTGGCCGTATCACAGGAAGCTACGCAGTGTTGGTTGTTATCCTTGTACCCTCCACCTCTAAGCAGCTCTATAGTAGCACTCAGATCTAAGTCAGCCAGGGCTCGGGTTACCAGCTCACCATTGCTGTTAAGGTCCAGGAAGCAGCTGGCTGAGTCCACTACATGTGCTGAACGAGAGTGCTCTGTCTGGCCGGGACCAGAACCACCATGACCGGCAAATTTTTCACAGAAGCCAGAGGACGACCTGGAAAAATGAGTCCAGATAAAGTGATTACAAAGAACAAGCACCCATGGCTCTAGATCTATAGTTCTATTCAGATTAAAAACATCTAGATGCCATGAACAAAAGAATATAGATAAAACTGGCATGTCACTGACCATTAGGACCGTATTAATGGACAATTGTACGTTACTGAAAATTCTGGCATATTGCACTGGTTATTTGCCTGATGAAAAAGATTGTCTTGAATGCTGTAGTATACAAAGCAGTGTTCGTTTCCCCTTGTCTGTTAGCCTTAGTTACTGACATAACAGATGGGCTATCTCAATTACATACCAGATCAGATCATTACATACAAACACAGTTTAAGCCCATTGTATAAAAGTATTTGGTACCAAAATGTGGTGAATGAAATGCCTCTTACACAGAGAACATGTGTCCTCACCTGCTATCCAGTGAGATGATTTCAAAGCTGGAGTCTTGAAGGACAGAGGCACATGAAGGGTGGTCTTTGCCTACATCAGGGGAGGTGCCGCCCACCCTACCAACAGAGTGATTCTTCTGAGTGGGCGGGTCTACAAAAGAAGATTATGAAAAAATTAACAGTAGAAAATACTTAATATAGTTTCACAAAAACTTATCCTTTTACACTCATTGTACATATGTTCTGCAATACTGGCTAAGAAAAAACTACAGGCAATTGAATGTATTTAAGACACACACGATAACAATATAGCCACAACATACCTGGGACAATCTCGATGCCAGGTTGATTATTTTTTTGAAACCTATTGCTGAGTTGCTGATCTTGGTCATGGTGTGGTGTTTCGGTGACAACTGTGCAGCAGGTGTCTTCTTCTGGAGGTTCCACCCAGGCAAATGTCTGGAGGAGTGCCTCAGTGGTATCTGCACTGTCTAACTGGCTACTGCAAGGTGCAACCTGGGCTGCCTCGTTCATCAACTCTGCAGTATCGTCAGCCCTGAAGAAAGAACAGCTTGTTTTAAAATTAAGTATTGTGATGCTAATAAGAAATATTATGACCTGATTATGTGGTGAAACTATTCAAATTCTAGAAGACGATATTCTAAACAATTCTGACTCAGCTAATAAAAAAATGACCTAGAGAAAAAAAAAAAAAAGAAACTACTATGTTAAGAGCTTGGTTGTTAAGTTAAAGTTGCGACTTAAACTCTGTATTAGTGTATCTACTGGCTAATTAGAGAGAGTGGGTGTCAGTCTTGACCATAGAGCTGCTGTGGTTCTACTTATACTGCAAAACACATTAAATACTGAAGCAGTCTGCTGCTTTTAGCTGCCTGGATGTGGTTGCAGTAGTTGTTGTGTGTCCATTATTTGAGAAACTACAACTAGCACAAATTCTGTTTACCATTAATTCTAATGTGTGCTGGCAAATGAACCTCTGCCCAAATTAAACATGGTCACATTCAATAAGCTTATTATGCTTTTGGAACATCAAGTCATGGAGTCCTTTAGCACAAGATATTTAGGTGACACCAATCACAGAGGGGCTTTTACTCACCTAACCACACGTGTGGAGGTGACTGGAGGAGGGGAAAGGGTTGACAAAGCGCTGCCCTGTTTCTCCAGCCTGGTGCTGGTTCCACTGAAGATCCTGCCTCTACCCGTCAAGGTTCTTTCCATGACGACCCAATGAACCATGGCCATATTTCCAGCCACCAGTGAGGATGGGTCTAGGATTCAGATAAAGAAGCTACAGTATATATATATATGTGTTCTACTTCAGAATAATCACAGCAAGTCAGTCATGAAACACTGCTGCCTTTGAACATGTCACAAATGGATCCAAATGCTCACCAGATTTTCCTGTTATTTTGGATGAGGCTATACATTTACCAGCCTCTACTTGAGAATCAGGGAATGGGCTGGCCTTTCTGTCTGAATCAGACATCCAGCCATAAAAACCAGGCATCAGGAAAGTGACACACTGTTGATGACAAAGCAGCAGTGACAGAAGTGAGAGTCAACATGGACTTCAGTCAAAACAGTCTTGTTCAGCTGGTCATGTAGGCTAACCTTTCCCAGCAGCTCATCCGTGCTGTAGCCAAACAGACTGAGGGCCAGGTGGTTGTGGATACTAAAGATTGAGCCATCAGGGTGGAGCAGGAGGAGACCGCTCACAGGAGCAAATGCCCAAACTGTTCCAGAATACTCCAGTGCAAGGCTTGAGGCGAGAGCATTGCTGTCCACTTTAACTTCTGTGAGAGTCCAGACACAGTAGTTATAGCAAGTCTACTCAATTACCTAATGTGGTAAATAACTTTTTGTGGAGTACCTTTACTATATAATTTTACCCTTCAGTGATTGCTTTGAATATTGAAACACTTCATGAAACTACAGTTCCTAAACTATCATTGCTAGTACCATTTTTGGAGTTCTGTGTGGACTGTATGAGATTTGGCTTTTTTGTGTTGTTCCAAAGCAAACAAGACAAACACGAGAATACCAAAGAATTTGTGACTGCAACAGTTTTCTGGGAGAAGTGGTGTATTATCCAACAAAAACACAGGGACACCAATATTTTTGGCCATGACTATGTTAACATGCCCAGGGATCATTTCTCCTAACATTAGGTAACTTTGCTATCTGGCATTCCAAACAACATAACTTCTTGGGAATGTTTGTCAGTTACTTCAAATTTTGATGACTTTTGCACCAGGGGAGTTTCAATAATTTTCCTCTGCACATTCTTCATATAAACTCTGGATTCTGTTATTATCCTGCCCACATCTGCAATTATCTGGTTTGGACAGGATGACAGTATACACCATATATAACATGGTATATACTGCATCATTAAACTTACCATAATGTGTCCTGTGCTCAGAGTGTGGGGTTTCTGTCTTGTGCCTGGTGCACTCTGTATTTGTGTCCTGTGCATCTAATCTTTCAAGACTATCTGTTGGGCAGGTAAAACCAGCTCCATTAATTTGGTGCTGGAGTTTTCCACATAGTACTGCCCCCTGAAGTTTGATACACAGTGGGATTGATGCACCCCCTCTGCTTTTACCACACACTCTCTGAACCCTCAGCATCTGAAAGGAGGAAGGAAAAGCAAAGTCAAAGAGGACAGATTTACAGAAATCCCTGATCTTAAATGCTGCCATATATAATATTTCTCTGTTTCTGGACTGTTTATAAAAGCACAATGGTAAAGAGAAACCTGGAAGATTAAGAAAGGAAGCTTTCCTTTACTAATTGGAACAGTTTTGGTTATAAAGTGTGCTTACCTTGGGGAATGCCTGACTGTGGAGAGGGATTTGTAAAAAGGGGATTAGCTCCTTAACAGGCACCCCTTTTAACTCATTAGGATGGTGGTATCCAAGGAGATGGGCAAATGTCATGTCACACGTTAAGATACGGCCCTAGAAATAGCATTTTAAAAAACAATGGCTTTAATGGGTTAGGAATATGTTAATGTTTTAACCAGTAGCATAAAATTGAAGATGGGATCAAAGCAACATTATTTACTTGTAATTTATTTTTCTTCATAAGAACTTTTGCCTAGAAATCACATACACACTAAATAATGATGTACTTACATCTTGTGAAAAGGACAGACAGGCTGATACCCTTTCCACATTTTCTAACATGAGAAGCCAGTGCCCTTCATTTTGTGACTGTCTGTGGGAATATACTGATACAGGCACCTCTCCAGACAGTGTCACAGCATCCACCTACAGAAAAAGGAGCACATTAAACATACAAAACACACTTGTAAACATACAGACACATTCTTGCAGCAGTGGTGTATGAACTTAAAGACACCTGACTGAGGAATATCCCAAAATTCAATGCAGTTATTTTCACTTTCAAGAACTTTAGTCAAATTTTATACAGGTACCAGTCTTTCAGACACAGAGGCAATAGTTCCATCTGCTAGCAGAACATCTTCTCCCAGTGCTTCTTCCAGGATCTGACTGGTTTTCTTCAATAAACAGGAAAGCTTTTTTCCAATCAGTTCATTAGTGGTGCACTCAAACAGTTTGCAGGCCTGTTCATTCGCTGACAAAATCTGGAAAAAGATCCCCCAAAACACACACACATAGGGTATGTTCAAGTCACTGTGCTTTTTGAACAGTGCAGTTCAGTCCTACCACTTACAGCAAGTAATTTTACATACCTCTCTGGTTTTGTGGTCTACAGTAAGAATGCCTTTGTTTGGGTTGAGTGCAGACGGAGATCCCAAAAGGCCAAACTTTCCAAAGATTAGCTGACTGAACAGGGTGTCTTCCGTTTCTGATTGAGTAGGCGGGTGTGACAGGCAGGCATCAGAAACTTTGGAGCCAGGATTTAAGATTGAGATTTGGTGATTTCTTGATGCAAATGAAGTGAAAACATCCATGTGTTCACCTGTAGGCAACAAGTGAGTCAGGAATAAAAAATAAAAAAAGTTTCATTTACGCCCTGGGCTGCAACTAAATGACTATACAAAAACTGAAATTCTAAACGCTGGGCATTTTTGCTGAAAAAATTATTTAAAAGGTAATACATTATGTAAGTGTTGTGGATTATTTAATAATTTCAGCTGTAATGCTACTCACAATCAAAACAGTGGCTTGTCTTGCTTGGTCTGTGTGTCACGTCATACTCACCTGTCAAGGAGCCAGGATAATAACGACCTTGCAATGCCAAAAGCCTTTTCTTGTACAACGGTCTCTGAATACGTGGGTATGACTTATTCAGGCCAGAGACATCGTCCAGAGAATCGGGGGAGTAGTCGGGCACCACAGAAATAGTGTCTCGTTTACAGCTGCTGCTTTGGCTCACCCCAAGATGAGTCGACATCGTTGAAGTTGGTTATCGAGCTGGGAGTGACAATGACTGGTCTATATAAAGAGAATCAATTGATTACAGCATTTTAATAACACTGTAAATTAACAAACTGCTTAACTGATCAGAGCTGTTTTGGCGAACAGAGAAATGTGTAACGTTAGCTAACTAACACTAATTGATAACACTTGAGTTGCTAAGGTTCGTTTTGAAGATTAGCTAAGTGCGACGCCGCACTCACCTCAAGTCGTAGAACGGAAGTGTACAGCTTGTATTTCCAAGATGTTACAACAGATAAGGTTAAAAGGCACAGCAGTTTCAGCTGGTGCTAGTTGACAAGGTAACGCTGAAAAGGCAAGCGCTAACGTTACCCAGCTAGCTAGCCATCTGCTAACATTAGCTACTGCTAACGTCACTACAAACAACACGGTGCCGTGCTATTTATTTCTTGAGTATGTTTTGCCACGGAAATTTTGAACGTTGACGTTACAGTTGTCCTAGCACAATTTAAACACCTTCCCAACAGGTCAGTTTTGTATAAATGCAGATTTTATCGCGACTATTGTACTTCATCAAGTCGATTTTTGTAAACCGCGGGCTTCGAGTACCAGCCGACTAGATGATTCGAAGAAGCCCCCTGTAGCCAATCAAATAACACGTTTCCAATCAAGAAAACGTCATTGGATAATTTACCGGAAACTCCCGCCCTCGTCCCCATGGTAACAATGTCACACACTATACCAAATAAAACAAGGAAATAAACGAGAACGTCTGCAAAACGTATGCATTTTTCATAAGTCAAACAAGTAATTCACGCATTATTTTATTATAAAATAGCAAGACACAGACGGAACCCGACAGCAGACAGCAGTAATAATGGCAAAATGTTTTATAAGTCAGACTTTTACTGGAGTTTACAAGGAATCTACTTTGGCTATGCTATATGTACTGGTTTAAAAAAATAGGCATCCTTAGCATGAATAGAAACTTACTATAGATCTTTAAAACTGTTAGATTCTAACCTTTTTGTTAGAAATTAACCCAATTCTTTTGTTGGAAGCACGAGAAGTGACGACAGGAGAGGACTGTTTAAAATCAACAGAAAGTTTACTGAAAGTCTGATTACGTGAAAGTCTTTACAGCGCTGGATTCAGAGAGCCAGAGCTCCCGCAGGAGATCTGACTTCTGAGCCATGAACTATGTTTTAACAATACATTTATCTTCTTGGGCTAGGTCCGCCCCAAACAAAGGTCCCACGAAACCAGGTGTGTGTGTGTTGTCATGTGATTTTCCAGGCGGCAAGCAGAACAATGGGTCCTCTGCGCTGCAGACCCCCCATCTGTGTATTCTCATTACAAGACAAAGCAGGACCTC